TTGATTTTAAGTGCAATAATTTTATTACAATTTCAAATACCCTTACCAGGAATAAGCAGCTGTCTGTTAAAGTGTGTATGAGTAAAATAAAATTGTGGACATCGTTTAAGCCAAACAGCCAAACAGGTAAAACCTGAATAGAGATAAAGGTAATTTATCAGATTGCAACAGAAACACCCAAAAGGAAAAAGAAATCAGACAGCTGATTTGTCACATCAGCACATGTGTCAGTTGATATGTAATCTTTAAATACCACAAAACAAGAGGTTTTCTTAGTTTCACAATGCACAGAATGATCTTACTGTTTCTTCCCCAGTAGCTTGGAGACTTGTGGCTCAACTGTGAAAGATCTTTTTATTTTGATTTGGACCACAAATTACAAAACTGCAATGGGACGGTAAGAAAGAAGAAGAGCATTATAATAAAACACTCAGCTTGAATTCCACTAATTTTTGTTACCTACCAATTTGTGGGTCATGTGGCTAAATTACCACCCATATTTATCTTCTTACAAGATGCAGATTGATGCTTCCAGTAATTTGTATATGTCTAATGCATTCCATAGACAACTGTAATACCTCTCTCTTTCCACACACTATGAGACAAACACTATATACATCAGTATATACTGTTCATCAGCACAATTCTGCATTGAACAGAAAGGGTGAATCCAATTACTTTTTGTTTCCAGTTCTCTGAAAAGAAGTGCATACATTTAAAGGTACAAATATAGGTTGAAAGAGCCAGTATAAATGTGCAAAATATGTATTTTACTTGAGCACTTTTTTACGTTATTTGAAGATGGAAATCCTGCCTTTACAGCAACGTCTACTGTAGTTTACAGTAAATACTGTAGTTTAAAATTCTTAGCTAATTGGTATAGTAACTTTGGAATCAGAAACCAGCACAACATCCTCTTAGACTGTGAAAGATGTAGTCAGTAGTTTAAATTTTCAAAGTGTGGACAGGAAAACTTTGAATCTTTTTATAGATATTGGGAAAATAATTTAAATATTTACAGAGCTGGGATGGGTTAGATCAGTAAACATTTATTTTAAATATCTTAACCGGTTTGCAGTTTCACCTCCAAACACAGCACTGTGTTTTCACTGCAATACTTCAATTGAATCTCATATTTTCTACTTTACTACTATGCAAATATTAGGGTCACAGTGCTATAGGAGAAAACAAATCTGCTTTTAAATTCCGGTGGGGGGGACATTTTGTCTAAACCTTAAACTATTCATAATCAATGAATCAATGAAGTTTATTACAGAGAAAATTTAGGATGTGATATATGGAAGAAAGTAACCTTCATTTTGACTTCTGTCACTATATCCTGCTATATTCATGAAGAAGGCAGGAAGAATACATAGTTTTATATTTGTAGATTTGTGATTTCATTTATATTTTTCGGCATCTCCACAGAATAGCCCTGTTTAAGAAACCCATACTATATGATTCAAAATGACATGGCCTTACCTTGAAGCTCAGCGAGAACTGAAAGGAACCTGGCGCGCAAGTTTCCATTTGAAACACAAGAGTAACGACTTCCTCCGACATTTAGGCAAGATGTAATCAGTAAAGACAAAAATCAGGGTTTGTCTGGTTGTGGATAAAGAGAGGAGGTCAACAGTAATTTGGGACAGATCTGCTATCAGAAAAGCAATGAATAAACTGGACTGCCATGATACAAACTTTCACTTGCAAGCCAAACAATATAAAACTGGGAGTACTTAAAAGCAAAACATTTAATGTAGAATTCAGTATAAGTACTCTCGGGTTTAATGTTTTAAACAAATGCAGTATTCAACAGTTTAGCAAAAGTGCAGTAAATGTACAGGACTGGCTAATCATTATATTTAATGTGCCATTTTTAAAGTTCCAAAAACATTTTACAAGACTGTGATACTGGTAACATTTGTACACTGTAATGTTACAAATATTAATAATATCATTCAAATACACTTACTAACTACATTATCCTACCAACCTAAAAATAATTCTTCTGTGCTGTGAGAAAGTATTTCTTAATATTGTTGGAGAAAAACTGCTTACATTAAAGCTACTATATAGTCAATACAGTCACTATATAGCTACTATATATATATAGTGACCACATGCACCTGAAACATTTTAGCTATATAGATATGTATCATGCAAGTCAAGCCAATCTTGTCCTGCCAAATTGTTGCAGGATCCTTTGATTTTCCTGTAGCCTGTCACTCTTACACTTCATAAAAATGAGTAAACTTGGGAAAAGCTGACATTTGATTTTACCCATTAGTACTGAGCTGACATTTCAGAACAGGACCTCTATAAATATGACTGTACGTTCTAAGATTAAAGCATATAAGAAAAAAGACAGCTTACAGCAGTACAGGCTAGCGTTTGAAGATTTGGCATTGACATGGAACACCTGCTAAAAGCTTTTCATAAAAAAGGTAAAATTCCATTTGATCATTCCTTTGTCCATATGTAAAGTAGTAATGTAAAAAAAAGACCAAAATCCATATTCATATTTTTTCCTTTAATGATTTTTAGTGAAATCTTTTTCCACAACAAATCCCTGAAGAAAGTATATGAGGCAATGTTAATATGAGTAGATTTCACCTGGAACCAGTTAACATTAATGTAAAAAATGCCATGCCTTCTAAAAAGAGCAATAACCATAAGTCCAGAAAGTCCAATAACTTAAATTTAATAATGTACTTACAGCTCCCACAGAAATAACACTTTAATTTAATTTAATGTAACTAATTTGTTTAAAGACAGACTGAATGAGTTACAGTTAGACAATTCTATGTACAGTATTTACAGTATAGTTGCAGGTTGAAATGGTTGACTATTTTCTTGGTATATGAATGTTCCATTTGAACTTTTAATCATAAGTAAATAATTCATTAACATTAGTTCTGGGATTTTTGGTTCAAAAATTACTTTTAAGTCTTTCTATAATTAATGAGATTCCTATTCTTTTTGAAGCATAAATTTAACAAAACACTCAATTTATTTCACACATCAGCATTTAACAATTTAATCTGACACAAAAAAATCCTGAATACATGGAAAATGTATTCATTTTCTTTTGAAATTAATTTTGCCTTTTGGAAAAGTTTGTAATTTAGAACTTTTCATATTTAAATACCTCAATGAACTGGGCACAAAACTACATGTGTATGAAGAGACCTTGCTGTGACCTTGGCACCTTGGCTCTTAGAGCAAGGATAACACCTCCTATTTCATACTTGAAGTAATTTGTTAAGAGAAAAATATTTAAAAAGCAAAAGGGCAAGGTGCTCTGGTAAGATAAGCATCTTTCCACTAGATGGGGTACGTAGAAGTATGATTGCTGAAGCACTTTGTGTGCTCTGTGCTGTTAAATAATTTCTATCCAAATGGTAGAAACAAATAAGGATACATCCAAATTAAGCAACAACAATTAGTATTAACTATTATTAAGTTTTTAGGAATAATAATTAGTTCTCAGTGTCTCTTAAAGCTGAAATCCAGAACCAATAATATTCGATGGTGATGGCTTTCTCTAAAAACACATCATAAACCAGAAACGTATTCTTTGTAAGAAGAATTTGTATACACCTATTTTCCCAAGTCTAAGTTAGCCATGCTTTGCTAATGAGCTCTAATGAGGGCAAACTGGGTGTCTGTAGCTGCTAAATATGCTATCATATACATGCAAAGCACAATCAGATGGTTCTACCTTTCACCACAGCAAAAAGGTTGAGAGTTAAATAATATTCATTCCCATCATTAATAGCAAAACCGTGCTCTTAAAACACACCATAATCCTGAAAAGCGATGCTGTTAATATTTTGTTTACCTAGAGAATGTGAATTGAGCAATTTATAATAATCATTGCATTTACACAGTGCTTTTTTACCCCCAGTCTGGAAAATTTCTTCTTATACTGATTCGATAGCATCTTGTGCAGGCATTGTATAATAAACTCCCATACACTCCGATGCAAACCCCCTTTATTTTACTATTATTTAGCTATGATTTTTTGTTTTTATAAGATTTTTGTCTACAATGATTAATGGGGGGTACTGTAAAGTTGATTTTACATAACCAAACAAAATATTTGTCAAAACAGGGTTTTCTTGTTTCATTAGAAAGCAAAATGGAAATTTGTAAGCCCAAGATTAAGATTTTTTAAAATCGTTTTATACTATGGAGTATACATAAATTATATTTAGTGTCTCTGTTTCTGATACTTAGAATACATGGGTACTGCTTTAATTTGTATGACTGGTCCAACTAAAATGTTCTAGAATTGTTACCCATCTTGTCCAAAGTTGTGGGAATGTCCCAGGGCCTGAATGACCCATTATTCTCAGTGGACTGTAAAGTAGTAAGAGGTCCGTCCTTTTCCTCAATGTGCACAATGGGAAAGAAAGCTAACTTACAGTAAGTGGTCACTCAGGAGGAAAGTTTTTTGGCGTGCATGCCTTCATTGCATTGCAGATAGTGACAACAGACCAGGTGCTGAACGAGACTCAGCCTCAGAGGTTTATATTCATTTCATGGCAAGTAAGAAAAAAATCGACTTAAGAAGCAAACGTTTGGCCCTCAAGAAGCTACTGATCTGCAGAGTGGTCTCAACTCATGTTGGCTGAAAGCTCCCAAATCTCTGTGGACATCTGTGAACATCCAGTGGGATTAAAGCCATGATGAACTGCAGCTGTAATCTGCGTGGGAGGTGAACTAACTTGCTGTTACAGATGTTCTCTAATATTTGTCAGGGCAGTATACATTTATCCAAATGGATATTTTGTGTATATGCTGAGAGAGTCTTGATGTCCATCTTTAATTAAGCCAAAGGGGATTCTCTTCAGTATAAGAGTTAAGTATGATGGAGGCACTGTTTCACAAAAAGAAAAAAACAGAAACCCATTTAGGGGAAGACGCTAATTTCACTTCAATACATCAGAATCACACTTTGCAAGATAAAAAAAAATAAACTTATGAAAGTTGCAAAATTAATTTTCTTCCACACAATCTTTTATTTGTAAATAATAAAAATGAACTTTTTATATAAAACATACACGAGTCATTTGAGCCACATCTGTAATACAAACAAGAAATGTTGCAGTGAATACTTTTTTTTCTCTCTCTTTGTTTCAGTGGAACACAATTGTAAACAATCAGCATTTTTCAATAATACTGACAAAGTAAATGAATCAGCCTCACTGGACATGAAAAGTAAACTTTATTAAACATGTTTACATGACATGAGTTGGAAGTTCATTTAAAAGCACAGGGGAGTGTTCAGACAACGGTTTTGAATAGAAAGATAGCATCCAATTACCAGGAATCTAGCTTGGCCATTGTTTTTTAAAACAATAAAATCGAATAGGGCACCAATGCTTCAGTTCTTCCTGCTCAGCAGGTCCAGTAGTGATTAACCTTGATTGCCCTGCAGAATAAACGGCAAATTTGTCCTGGACAGTTTGTTAATAACAGACAATCACATGGTGCAGGCAGTACATCTTATATATATAAATATATATAATTAAAATCTTGTTTGTACACAGTTTTCTACATCTGTTACAGCCCCACAGTAGGAATCTACACCAAGATATTTAGTAAGAAGGGGGTATGGTCAATACTACGTCACTTTTCCCATAGGGTTAAAAAAACAAAAAACAAAAATATTCTTCTATAGACATTGAGCACCAGAATGAAGGACACAATCTGGATTGAGCTGTGCAAAATGTCTATATGTGAAATGAATGGCTTTAGTTTCTTGGTTATCTTTTTATAATAAGTACGAGCAAACTGTACAAGTACATGCAACATACAAGCTGGTCTATGTGGAACTAACACACATATTTATTTAAGTAACTTTTTTTTTGTTTTGTTTTACAAAATGTGCATGCGGCTTTGAACAGTTCCAGAGTCATGCTGCTCTACTTGATCATAAAATAAAATGACCGCTTTAAGAATGAGAGGAAATGGTATCCTTGCACCTGCACAGTCTGCAGTCTTTTTTGTCACATTTACAGAAATGCACAAGGGAATTTCGTTTGATTTAGTTTTGAAAATCAAGGCAAAGAGGAAATGAAATGGACAAAACGCAAATTGAAATTTGGCTTCTTTTGTCGAAAAAGTTTAACTTTTTGCAGTAAAAAAATCAAGCTTTTGTGCTTGCATTAATTTCAAAATAATGTCAACTAAAGTCTGATAAAAACATTAACGTGTGCAGGGCATCTCACTGAAAGTCAGTGGAACCAAACAAATTATACCATGCTCTAACCAGGGCAAACAGAGGTGTCGAAAGTGACACATATTCAAACAGCCTGGGTACAGCTCAAAGTGTCATATGCTAACCCCTTGTATTGGTCAACATCCTGGGAAGTCAAATATATATTTATACAGGCAGGACTGAATTTAACTTATTTAGGATTCAACAAAGAGAACTGCATTACAAGTTAACATTTTACCGTTGAAATTAAGACAGAAACTGCTTTTCAACAGTCCCCAGCATCATTTGCAGAGAGATTGCTTCAGAACTTTTGTTTTCCATGCAAAACATCAGAGAACATAAAAACCTTTATTCATAATGCAAACGTGTGCCTGTATACAAAAGAAAAAGGAAAGGAGCAGCATGTAGATGCTGCTGTAAACTGCTTTCAAGGGGTAGACGAACCAGAACTGGGAACCAGCGCTGTCCAGAAAGTGGGGAAGGTTTTGCTGACAGACACTGTCTTGGAATGCTCTTAGAGGCTACTGCCCTTTTCAAGGGCTTTGGTTACATGAAAGAAGTGCAGAACAGGGGCACCACAGCAGCGAATAAACACTGATTACAGCTTCAGCAGACGTGTGGGCAAAATTTCCTTCTCTCTCAAAAGGACTCAAAGGTCTTCCAGTTAGATTTTTTTAAGCTGCAATATTAACTCAGTTCTCAAACGTTACAAATTAAAACAGACTCACACTGGCCTACTAGCATCTACATGGTGGTTATTTTTTCTGCCAATTATAAGCAGCATTGTCTTTTTAATTTTTTTTTTCAATTTTTGCAACAGCCCTCTTTCTTAAAAAAATGTACTACTGGCAAAAACAACAGGAGTGATTGTCTGGCTCCAACAAAGCTTTAATCGTGTTTTTGTCTGGTTCTGATTGATATCCTGTTTTTTTTTTTGTTGTTATGTCAACGTGGATTTCCTCTAAGTTCACTAGGATCGGATGCAAGGAGGTCCGGTTGAGCTTTCAAGAGATGACTGGGAAGCCCGGCGAGTAAGGGGTGCTAACGTGGGATCCACCAGGGATGAAGGTGGAAAAAGTTTGTACCAGCCAATCACTGTACTGGATAATTCCAGCTCCTCCAACAGAATCTGAGCAACGCCCATAAAACATTTGTGGTCCATGCGCCCATAATCTCCCCAGACTATTACCTGGTGATGAAGAAAAACACGCAATGTCAGTGGCATGGGCATTAAATAAGCCAGCGATATTTTAATGAGACTTGTAAAAAGGCTCAATGCTAATTAAGTAAAAGCATATTCCTTCTTCAGTTCCATATAACCCCCAGCAAGATATAAAAGTAACACTTGAAAGTGCACCCTACTCAATGCCTCTGTACCAGATGTTCTAAAAGGTAATACCATAAGAAAGATTAAAAAAAAACATTTTTCTAATTGCCTTTGCTTTACCTGACAAAGTAAACATGAAAAACAATAGGGCATAACTAGGGCACAGATTTGTAGGACAAGTGTTTGCCTTTATCTAGGGAAAATAATTACGAAGAATTATGTTGCAGTATGTTGCTCTACCACAGTAGATATATTGTAAGTCTCAGTTTAGATTTTGTTTTGCATCAGTCTGAGCCACTCTATTAGTCACTTGTGGCTGGGATTCCCAAAGCAGCAAAGCATAAATGGCTCAGCAACACCAGGGCTGAGTGGTCTTGAGAGGTCTTGAGGAAATCTTGTGACGTTGTCAGAGATGCTGTGTGCTAGACGTACTGTATTATCAAGGAGGTTTAATTCTAACTGGTCCAGGCATCAGGATCAAAGTAACAACAGCAAGCAGATAGCTCTGATAGGACATATTCCAGCGGGAGACATGTCCAATCCTCCTCTCACATGAGTTGTCGGAGGGGTCTACTGCGATACAAGGCTGATTAACAATTGATCATTTCACTTTGGGTGATGTAGGGGTGTGATGCAAAAAATAATTGCCATTGTACATCTACAGACAGATTATAGAAAAGCAGTAATTTCAGAAATGTATATTCCACTTACCTGTAGAACTTTACCCTGTGGGCTTTCTTCAAAAAGCAGTGATTGCTGGTATAATGGATCAAGTGTTTTCCGTGCAATCTTTGTTTTCTTTTTGGCTATGCATGCTCCGTTCTCCAGAAGATAAACTTTAACATATGGAGCTGGAAAAGCAAGAGATAAGGCGTGATAAAACTCACTGACGTTTCTGTCTCTGGATCAACACTCAGACACGCGCAACATTCTCCAGATCTAATACCCAAATCTTGAGATAGTCATGAGTAAAAATCCTAAATGAAGTACCTAGCTACTGAAGTACCAGTGTGAAAAGAATTAGTGTTTTGAATAAATATGCTAACTCTATAACCAAGACAACTCTACTTACAACCATTATATTTTTTTGCTACATCACTCACCAGGAAGAGATTTGGAACCTGGTTTCGGTGTTAGGCCACGTGCTCTGATAACTTCTACTTCTAACTGCCCTTTCTTGTCCATCATTCCAATCTGAATATCGCCTGAGAACAAGAAAAATCAATAAATAGTGATTAACCTGAAGAAAAGGACTGAAACTGAGGTGGGGTCAGAGTAATTAAAGAGGAAAGTAGAAACCCTGCTAAATACAGCTTGATATATCACATTTTTTCAGAGGTTGCCGAGTAACACAATTTCCTTTAACATTATTACAACTGCCAAGGCAGAATGGTGACAGAACTGCGATTAGAACACGTACTGTACATCCACATCTTCCTGGTTTTATTATATCGATCTCTTTTTAAAACATAAACTCTTATTTCTCATCAGTTTTAACAAACTTGTTCATTTGTTGTTGTTTTTTTGGGGGAGTTCAGAGAGTGCTGCTGCCAGTATGAATCCCTATGAAAGAAACCAAACCCTTACCCATGGCAGGTGTGGCGAGAGTCTGTCGACCAACCAGCTGCGCTGGGCCCAATCCATCAAGAAAATCGCTGAACTGGCTGTCAGCTCCTAATCTCATCCCTGAGAATATTAAACTATACAAAGATGCATGGATTAAAAAGACTGAAACCAAAGAACAGACACCTGGCAAGAGTATTTGTCCCTGCAAGCGCTTTCCTGCTTGATCTTGCTTGTTGCTCTTCAATTGTATTTTAATCATGTTCAATGATGCAATGTGAAATGGTTTGAGATTGTAAAATCAACATATCTTTAGAAAATGGTTTAAATGTTAAGACCTAGAGACAGATACTGTATGGATCACTAGTCAAACCTCTTTTTGAAACTCATGAAACCAACTATTTAAAGAAGACAAGTAGACTGAAAACATATTCTGCTTTTAAATAAGTAAAGCAAAACTCTCTTTTGTGAAGCACACATACTTTCCATTACCTAATCCCTTCAGGAATGCCAGATGGAGATGCCATTTCAACGATTCAATATGTACGTATTCATGAGACCCTTTCTATTAATCACCCTGTAATTAGATGAAATACGTATGGAGTCCAGATCCACTTTGCCATATATCAATGAAAGAAATTTTGAGTGGCAGTATTACTGTTACCTTCCAACATTTTCTTGATTAAAACCATTGATGCTATTTTTGGATTGACAGATTCTGAGACTACTACAGTAGGTAGCCTTTAAACTAAGGAGGGATTTGGAACAAAGTGGCATAAAATACAATGGGGGACTGAATAAAACTACTTAAATACATGAGATGATGGATCTTTGATTTTTTATTTTTTATTTAAAAATCAGTTACATTAATTCAACAAAATTCTTAAACTCATGAGACAACACACTTCTATGAGTATCAACTGGTTTTAACTGTGCATATTCCTTTAAAAAAGCTACTGGCATTAAAAGTTTAGTTTCTAACAGCATATAGAAGGGAGTCATTAATAAACCATATTCTGGTACTCTGGAATTCCCAATGTACAATTATATAAGTAAACTTCAAAGGATTTTTCACTGTACTGTGCATAATTATCTATTGAAAGTATACAACTAAACTTCTGACCTTTAATTTAAAAGGAATCTATCATTTATTTAAGTTTCATCTTGATTTCTCTTGTCCGGGACAGCTATACTGATAAGGAATGTTAATATTATAGAGGACTGGCTTGTTCTAAGATTCTAAGAGAAATTATTAAGATTTTGTACAGATGGTAAGAATTTGACTACATTATGGAGGCTATATTTTTCAAGATGTTGAAGCTATACTACAGTAACTGTAGCTCCCATACAAGAAAAGTTTGTCTACCAGGACTTCTGGTAATGGGCATGACTTTAATAAAAAAACATGTCAACATGAACAAATTAACCCACCTTTCAACAACCTTTCAGTCACACTATAAGGTCATAAGGTGTGAGCACATACTGCAGTACAAAGAATGTTTGTTGAAGGAATAGCTCTGAGGTATCAGATAGAACCATTTTCACTTGACAGTCTCTACTATATTTACTACTGTTCCAAACTATAACGGAAAATATCTATTCAGTTCAGAATAGTGACACTGAATAGTGGCTGAACTCATACTCACTTCCCCTCTGAACTGTAGCTGTTCATGCTTCCATCTGTGGACTCACGACTGGCCTGGCGAGCCATTGCATTCCTGGGATACTCTACTGCCATGCCCGTTTCCTGGCTTCTTTGAATCTGACTTTTCAACTTCTTGTTGGCAGCTTCTGAAAGCAAACACACCTCATAAAGCAACCGGTTTGTCATTCAAATACTGTGTATTAGATTTCTGATACATACAGTACTGTACAACCCAAAGTCCGAACGTGACTGACAAAATAGGCTTTTGTAACACTGAATTGAAAATCCAAGGCTTCTGGATTATACTTGCTTATTCCACTTGAACTTTACAAATATTAAGTTTTGGTAACATTTTATTTGAATGTCATTGCTAAATAATCCCTTCATATCTGATACACAATACATTTTAATCCCATGCATAACGCTTTATACTTTAGGTACATGCGCAAATAAAATACTGTGTACATGAGAGGTCGTGACATTTGTTTTTGCGTAATGTATAGCACTTGGTACTATGCAACAGCTTTGCAGAAATGCACACCCAGCCACACCGCAAATTTATAACACCATGATAAAATACTTCTCAGGCTAAATAGTTTTCATAGCTGGGGCAAGTGTCAATGCACTACAATGCAACACAATTCCACATCTTTGAAACAAACTTCATAAATTGTTCCCTTTTCACATCAGGTGGGAATTTTAACATGACCTGTCCTCCCACCCTCCTTAACTGCCATTAGCACCTTTCATTAGTTCACCCACCCATTTCTCTCCCTCATTTCCAATCTCTCTCCCTTTCTCCATTAAAAAGGGGCTCCCGACATTTTCTTTCCCACTCTCTTTTCTTTTCAGTGTATAATTGACCTCTAGTTATATTATGGCTGCACCTCAACTACAGCATTTTTAGAAGAGTATTTTCAGCTTTATGCAGGGGCATTTTAAAGACAAACTAACTCTGTCTTAATGGTATTTCAATGTGAGTTTTTCTTTAATTCTAGAACAATAATGTGCTGTTTTGTTCACTCTTTAATTGATAAATAAAAACTATAAAACCCAATATTTGTTACCAATAGATAATACTGAGAAAGAAATTAAGCAACGTCAGAAAGATGTTTTCAAGATAACAAAGATCACAGTATATAGCACTGTCTTTATCTGAAAATAAAGACAGTTAGTTATAGTGAGCCATTTATATTTTGACAAGGAAGACCAACTTTTCTTTGCTTCAGCAAACTGTTTTGCCATTGTGTGGTTTATTTAGACCTTGTCAAAACTGCCAAGCTGACATCACTGAAGCTCTTACTGAGCCCATCAGCAAACAGCATAAAAAGACCACCTGCTATGGGCAATAGAGTTTATGAAAAGCTGATTTACTGCAAAAAGCTGCTGCAGCTGCAGCTTGATTTACTGTATCATCCACCTGCTTTCAAGATATTATTCAGAGGTTTGGATGAAAAAGAATCAAGTATTATTTTTTTGAAAGTAAATTTATTAAACATAAATAGGCTGATCTTAAATACATTGTACTTTAAAGGGTATCAAAGTACGACTTCAAAGACTTTAGTTCACATTACATTTGATTACGTTCTGAGGATGATCAGTACCTGACAAACGCTGAGCCCACACCAGCCAAGTCCAGCAATGAATGCACAACATTTCATTCTTTAGTGTCAGCAGATACTACCTGACCGTTTGTTTTCATTTTCTTTTAGTTGGAGCCAAGACCATTTTGGATTTTTTACAATTCAAAAGTACTCTGTATTTCTCATATCCTCACACAGCATTACCAACCTGTGACAGATTCACTTTTACGGCACAAGATTCCCTTCTATAAATGTCAGATTTTATGTAAAATAGAACTGCAGTATTCATCGTTCTAGCAGGCTGGAAGTTACAGATAGTGCTTTGATCATACTGTCATCTCTGAACAACCCCCTATAACACAAGTCCATTAAAGAATGTTTTGATTCCAAAGTCATTTTTCTTCTCTGTGGCTTCACTTTCAATCTAATTTTTCGCATACCTATCAATTATAATGGAAAATATCCCATGAGATAATAAATAAATGCAACAATGACTACATCTATACTCTTTGTTATAATTAACAATGTACTGTATGAATTCTGATGCTGTACACATTATAATTTTTCATCAAAACAGTTTAGCTTATATTATATATTAGAGACTTATTGATTTGATAGCAACATACTGTTACATTATTATCACATTTTTAAAATAGACTGCAAAAGATACAAAAACCCTTTTCAAGCTATATGTGATTATTTCATTGTACTGATAAAATACCATTCAGCAAATCTTTGACCACGGTGCCTACATGATGCCTTATCTTGTCACAACAATGTGTCAAACTAGATACTGGGCATCTATCAAGGTATTTGGCCAAATACTGCTTCCTTCTGAGCCATCAGTCTATGTCATCTTCCTGAAAGCATGGTTATTTATGAGCAATGATGCATTTGATTCTTTGAGCTGGAAATAATGATGCTTTCAGACAGCTCTCTATAAGGCACATTATCAAGCTACAGATGCAGTTCCACAATCGGCTTTAGCTCCAAACCGAATTTGGTTTTATGAGAGCCCAATTGCTTCCAGTGTCTTGCATGAGAGGTTCAAATGTGTAGAAATTCATCATTTAAATTGAAACTGCAGGCTGTGTGCAATTTTTAATTTAATAACACCCTATTATTTTTGCCTTGATAATCCTAATAAAAGTTCTGATAATTGTCTTATTTTCTAACTGGTAAAGCTGTGATACTGTACCTTTATTTCACAGTCTACATTTTGTATTTTCTCTTTAATTAAAAATAACATTTTAGCACAAAGTTACTAACCATCCTTATATATATTATGCCTCCTCTTATCAAACTTTACTTTTATTTAAAAAACTGGAGACTGTTTATTGGACTTGCATGATATGGTCCCTTTTTCAGAAATTTAATTTGGATAACCACAGCTGTGTTAGGCTTTCTCTTCTTTGTCTCGTGTCAAACCCAGCTTCCTCTCTTCAAGTGAAAAGCAGCTTCTGAACAGTTATTTGTCTCTAAAGTATGGTAAAGACATACAGTAAAATAAGAAATTCGAATTTCTACTTACAAATCTGAAACCTTCAATATTGATCCACTGAGACCCTCTTTAATCAACAAACACTATTCTCTTTCTATACTGCTATAAAACACAAGTTAATTTAGAAAAAGTAGATTTAAGCGATTGAAATGGACTGGGGACGTCAAGCAAAGAATGTTATTTGTTGAAAAAAAAACAATCCCATATAAGGTATCTCTTGCAAGACAGCAGTACTGGAATACATTGCTATCAGCTGTAGTAAATTCCTTTGCTCAGCAGTTGCTTTGTTTGCTATCATTCAGCCTGACAACATTAAAAATTGCTTTGAATACTTATTTTCAGCAGTGTCCTAGCTCACAATGTTTGTTCTGCAATTGAAAGATCATTTTCCTCTGTTTAATACATGTAATTATCATCAAATCGGAATTCACTAGCTGATTTACTTTTCAAATTACAAGTAAAAGGCCCTTTGAATTGTAAGGGAAATTTCAGTTTGCTGTTCTTCAAGTTTTGGGAACATTATAATATTAATTTGGTTTTAGGCACACAAAAAAATCCAGACAGGATTACAAAATTACCAAAGTGGGAAACCAACATATGTGGGTTTTATTGATAACAGTTGCCAAAAAAGAACATGCTTTTCCTGCTTATTGGAGTGGAGAGTGAGAAAAGAACCGTATGTTTAGTGGCGTACACTCATCAGTTCTCAAATGTAATAAACAACAGCACTGCTCCAGACTGTCAGAGAACAATGCAGTTCCTTTCTTGGCTTTGCCAGAATATAACATAATATCTACTGTAGGAGGATCAGGATGATTTTATATTTCTACTTTTTATGACAGAAAAAAGTGACAGGATCTCTATTTTACTTTGACGTCATACAACTCTATAAGTTTCATGTTAGTAACATTGTTAAATTAGAAGGTACTGGATGGAAAAAATAAATAACACCGAAAGACTGATCAGGTGCACTTTTTTATTTATTTTTTAAAGAAACATCAGCTTTAGCAGGAAGCAAAGTGGTGGAACTTGGGTGTGCAGCGCAAAACTGTGGAGCAAGAGAAGAAATAGCACTGCAGACACGAAATTTGTAAAACAGAACAAGCATTTAGATTTCTGAAAAATATTAACCAGCTGGGTTTCTAATGTTATAATAACAGTTGATATGCTTCACAAAGCTCTGTAGCTAGGCAATAATTCAAACTGAAAGTTGTGAGAAGACACATAAAGGAGAAACATGCTAGAATTCCTACAATTTGCTGAGAAGGCAGAAGACATTTTAGTCCAGAATCATCCCTTATATAAATGTATAGTGTTATGTTTTTTTTTCCCTACACTGATTTTGTATTTTAACATGCAGAATATGTCATTTATACCGTATCTCATGCTGTTTTATTACTTGCATAGCAGCATACCATACAACGATATTGCAGTGATTCCTAATATCAGTCCAAATATGTTCCAAATTTCTATATGAACTCTTTCACATCATTGTATTATTCATCCAAAAATGCAGTGAAATGAATGAAGTGAATAAGAACAACAATTAATTCCTTTGTCTCAGAATATATGAAATTATAGGTTTTATGAAAAGATCATACTTTACAGCAAAGTCCTAAATGCACAAACTTCTTTTTTCTCATCCAAAAGCAATAAATTAACGATAATATTTGCTTACCTTCAATTTTTGAGTTACAGTATAAGATTGCCTTTGATACTGTACAGACTACAGCGTCTTTCAATGTGAAGCCTTTGCAAGCTTGAGTTCCTTACACCTTCTTTTGTCAATTTCTTAACAAAGAGTGTCCCTTTAGGCCTTGTACATCTAACTGGCTTTTATGTTCCATGCAAAAAAAAATCCATAGTCTGAGTGCAGCAGGGGTTCTTTTCTGACAGATTGCATTCCCTTTCACAATAACCTCTCGACCTTTTTTCTTCTTATTTTTTACACTACTCAGAATATAATCTTTACTTCTCATTTCACGATAAGGATAAAAAGAAAAGTGTTTTAAGGTTAACTAAATTGTTAAATGTTTAATTATGCAATTTATAGGAACTGTCAAGGAAAAGTCATTTTTATCCGACTTCCTCTGTGCATCTTTATCTTATTAGATTGCAAACTGTGTGACTCACATACAGTACCAGTACAGAACCTCAGTACTCAATAAACTTGGACAGAAAGAACATTTTGAACCCCTTTTTCTAACCTCAAAAAACACCAGAAATAGAACCTTCCTGGTGTTGTCCAAGGGTAAACCACTTTACACAGATCTATGAGAAAATGGATTAGCATGCCTTAGTTTCAGGAAACTTTCCTGAAGAAAGTTATTTTTCCCCACGTTTCCTACAAGCTCAACATCCGCTGACTCAAAGCCATGTCCAGTGAATGAAAATGTAAAGCCAAAAATGTAAAACATGAATTTAAAACCAACAAAAATCAATATAACTTTGCTGTAAGTCCACAGTATAGCAAGATGGAAGATGTTATAAATATGCAACAATAGCATACTGTATATCGCAATCATTCTTAAAAAAGAGGGAGAGCAAAAAGAAATAATGTCAAGAGAAAGATATTTATATAATGAACTGCAACACACCTTGTGCAACATGTGCATTAAAGCTTGTAAAGTATTACAAGCTTTAATGCACATTAAAATTAATTGCAAGATACGTCTGCTATTTAATATGGTTTAATACAATCATACTAACAAGCTCCAGCAGAAAGCCAAGTAACACCAGAGAAGAACTTCCTTTCCCCTGGCAGTTTAGGGTTCAGACAGCTCCAGCCTGCTTACCCGTTTGGCTGAGCTGGGATGTGCTTCTGCTCCTCCGCGATGGCAGACCCACAATGGCTACCACCCTGGCGCTCAGGCTGGACCGGCGCTGTTTTCCCCCTGTCCCGACGGTCCCGATGGCCGTGTCCGACTGGCTGCCATCGTTCCTCTCCAGGTTGTAGATCTCCCCGCTCACACTTGTGCTCTTCATCATGCTCCTCCCAGAAGGCCGCATCTGTCTGCTGCACATTTTAGAAGGGAATGGACTGTTTTTAAAATCAGGGCAAACAGAAATAAAAGACAGACAAGTGGCAAGACGAGACAATTTCATATCGGGAAACGGACTGCGTGTCTGTCTGGTCTGCAGCTTTGAGTGGATGTTATTACAGAGCTCAACTATAACGATATCGGTACAGTCGGGTCTGGGTGGGAGAAAGGGCATGCAGACATACAGCATATTCTTCCTGCATGTTCCTCACAGAAAGTCCTGTTTTTTTAATCTTAGTGAATACTAACACGTTGTAAGAGTTCCTTACACTTATATAGCACTTTTCTGGACACACCATTCAAAGCGCTTTACAGGTAATGGGGACTTCCCTCCACCACCACCTGGATGATGCGACGGCAGCCATAGTGCACCAGAACGCTCACCACACTCATCTCTCAGTGGGGAGGACAACAGAGTGATGAAGCCAGTTCAGAGATGGGGATTATTAGGAGGCCATGACTGGTAAAGGGCAGGGAGAAATTTGCACAGGACACCGGGGTAAAACCCCAACTCTTTTTGAGAAATGCCCTGGGATTTTTAATGACCACAGGACCTCGAGTCAGGACCATGGCTCTACATCTCATCTGTAGGACAGCGCCTTTTCACAGTGTCCCCGTCACTATACTGTGGCATTAGGATCCACACAGACTGGGGGTGAATGTCTCCTACTGGCCCCACTAACACCTCTTCCAGCAGCAAACCTAGTTTTTCCCAGGAGGTCCACCATCCAGGTACTGACCAGGCTCATACCTGCTTCCCTTCCGTGGGTTGCCAGTTGTGAGATGAGGGGTGATATGGCTGCTGGCTAATAAAATGTTTAAAAGTCAAAGTATGAAGGTTCTAAAATGAATAGGCTGAAAGTCTTTTGGAGCTACTGTATCAAATCAATACAGTGTGAGATTTCCTTTTTGTTTTTATTACCCATGGAAAGCCTTTTTGTTGATCTTTGAGTTCTGGAGCATGATACACACTTCACATTTGGAAAAAAAAGTAATCAATATGTTTCCTTCATGTGTCCAATATTCACTTATGTACCTGCCGACAACCTAAATATAACTCTTACAAGCTCAAACGTATTTCAGTTATTATGGGGGATATATGTTCATTATACATTTTTTAAAACTACATACATTAAAAAATAAATAATTAGAATGATGATAATTGACTCAAATAATATGTCAGCATACATTAGTAAAATAACATTGTCAAGTTGATTTCTGTAAAACTTACTTGTGAGTTTATAGTGCATATTTACATTGTGGCATTTCAAAACACACATTTCCTGAGCATTTAATGACAATGCCTAAAAAAACTTTGAAATACAAAAGTAAAAAAATCTAGAAAAAAAAACCAATCATTTCATTTCAGAATAATTCCCCATATGAAAATAGAAATACTTATTTCTGTTTGCTGTGTATTTCAAGAAATAATGCAAGCCCCATATAAAACCCAATGTTCAACTCTTTAAAGGTTGAAGGGCTTGAGGTGATGACATGATCTTGTAGATTCCATCTTTAAGCCTTAAAGTCATTCATTACTTGTCTAATAACTGCCACCATATATCACTTACTACTGGTTTCTCAAATGCTATTTAGAACTGCAACAGCATATTTACCCAGCATTGGGATCAACAGTAACCACTAGCATAGTACTGTAAGTGATTTTTAAAATATTTAACCTTAACACAGTTTTTAAAATAAAATGGTGTCCTTTATTTGTTCTAACATTTAGTCTTCTTTAAGAACTCCTATGCTCTCACTTGAATAGCCCATTAAAGCTTTACAGCAGATAACCAATACAATAGCAACCTTTTGTTGAGTAGAACCTTATGACCATTGTATTGATCAGGGAAACTGTACTGGGACTATTAAAAGAAGTACAAATCCAATGTCCAATAATCTGTCATACAAGAGACTCATTTAACACAATACCTCATCTTTACGTATAAGGCTTTCCTATATAGTGATATTTCACCTGGAACCCATTAACAATACACACAATGTAATTTCCTGAAGCAATATTTGTACCATACACATACTGATATTTCACTTATTCATTCTTCACATGTCATCTGCATCAGTCATCTCTATTGATCAATGATTGCATCCTGCTATATGTTTTTTGGAACAGTATGGACAAATGCAATTAAAGACATTCTAAGAGCATAGTAAAACAAAACAATAGACTTTCATATAGATATGCATCAATCTATATTTCAGCACCTTATCCAATTAACATTAGAACATCTAAACATCCACTCCAGTATATTTGGGAGTGTAGATGATAGATAAATTATACAGTAGCACTGACAGAGATATTTGTCAGCACTTCCACCCAAAACTGGAGTGGTTAACTGCTTGACTGAAATACAGTGTAAACAGTACAGGTATAGATTTGTTTTTATTTCCATGTGTTTAAATAAGTGAACACCTTTGACATTTAATGACATGATTAATTGAAAATGCAACTGAAAACATGAATAAATATATACAACACAGAGGTCAACTGTCGTTTGTAATGGCACATCACTATATCTAACATTATTGATTAGAATTCTAGTAATAAATCCGCCTGTTAATGTTATATTGCTTTTTGTCTGGGAGCGCAAAGAAATGCCTTAAAATGGATTAATTGAAAGTAAGGCAGACAAAAAACCACTCACCAGTTCTGTGTTTTGTATCCAAATCATCCAACACAGTGAAATCTACATTTTAAAAGTATACCAATACCATTGTTGCACTGATGTTTGACTTGAGACAGCCCCAACAAAACCAGACTTCTCTCAGCATGCAGCATGCATTTCTATTTCATTGTAAGAAATAGCGCAGTGTCTTCTAGTCGCTGTGTGTTCACTTCTGCACAAAAACTGGGGTACCTAAGCTTCTCACGGTGCCACTGGCCTTTAGCTGTATGGTAGCTGTGACTGGAAAGGATGCCTTCCTCTCCAACGGTGCTATGCAGAATTCTGTTGTGGTTCTCAGCCCCTGTGGCATTCCTTTTTAACAAGGTATCTCATGAATACTAATAGACTCCAAAGTAGTTTAGACTTGAACTAGATAATGCAATAACATATCCTTGCTACTCCTTTGCATTAATTATGACACAAGATCTGGAAGTTGGCAGACCATGCAGATTTTACAAAGAGAACAGAACTACAAATGATCATTTTCTAAGCGAATGGTGTGTGATAAACCATTTTATTCTAATAAGGAGGTGGCTATGGGTTACTGCCACTTTTTTTAAGAATCACATCATGTTTTTCTTTTTCTCACAGTAATATCCTGAAAAATAAATAGGAAAATAATTTTAGGTCCTCTGATTATTAACTAATGTCATGTCTTTATTGCTGGAAAGTGTAAGGACGATACTGGGACAGGTGGTAATACCATGACTGTCTGTTTTTTCATTTCTGCTGGGGGGATCCAGCAGCTACAGTACTTCTCCAATATGAGAACTCATGTGGCTGTAAGCGGTCAATAGTTTAGCTTTAAGCAAGGGTCACCTAGGAAGATTTGAATATATGAACTGTGACACAAAAAATCCTAAATTAAATAAAGGTAGAATGTTTAAAGTAAAGAAGAATGATTTAATTTTAAATCTTTCAATGTCTTCCAAACACTTCAGATACTAAGGATTAGTTTTAACACTGATGTTGCTATAAAATGTTGCTATTATCAAAAGCAACATTTTGATACATGTTGCTGCATGTATCAAAAATTGACTTTTAAATAACACTGAACATGTGTACTCATATTCTTGTAGTGTAGTGAACTGTTCAAATTAACAGTGCTTGATTTTTAAATAATAACTAAGTGTTAATACAATAAGCTTTAAAACCAATTGGCAGTTATCAGAAAGGAAGATTTCTCTATTTTTATGGAAGTTCTACCAGAAAACCTAATTTTTTCACACTAGATTTTTGATTGAAGATCGATGCCTTGCAAGATTAATCACATTTCAATCTATATTTATTTGTCATGGAAGGCATTTGTTCTTAATGAAGTAGTCTGGAGAGCATATGCCAATGGAAAATCTATTTACTGGCAGTATTTTGCTCTTCAAGGCTCTGTACTGCCAAACAGTAGTACTTCAAATTCCTTAAGGATAGAAACAATAATTTAATCCATTTTGTGACAGATTACAAGAAACAATAAGCTAAGCAAAAAAAATATTGCTTTTACATTGTGTTTGTTCTATTAATGAACACCATACAATAAAGAAAAGGCTTCAAGTTGTTGTTCAAATTAAATGAATTTGATTCACAAGCCCAAAATGGACTGAAAACTTTCTAAATGTTATTTTAGGCTCTGACATATGACACATACTGTATGTCATGTACAATATATAACAAATGATGTAATACAGTCTATTATAAAGTATAAAATACAAGAAAAACACACTTCCTGATACAGCATGTCACAATTGGAAGTTCATAATATGACATACCGTATTATATGTTAAACAGCACTAAAAATGAAATGCAGGAAAGGAACCCTGCCCACTACCATATGCCCAAAATAAAAAATGATTGCTCTCTGTAATTTACTGAAGAACTAACGTTCGCAACTTCTGCATATTAGGAGTAAAAGGCAAGCATAATAGAAAGGCATACCTAAACCTAAAGCAGCTTCACTGAGCATTATGCATGTCTTGTAAACTGAAAGCACCAATGTCTCCTTTAAAGAATACATTGCATTTGCCTAATTAATACTCCTGAAGAACATCAGAACAAGCATTTCAAATTGTGGAAATGAATTAACCTTGCAGTCACCTTTGTGTCGCACTGTTATAACAAATATCTTCATGGGTTATACTGTAGCATATATTTTGCTCCAATATGATTTTTACAGTGGCATATACTGTAGGCTTTTTTGCAGCATGTCAAAATAACTAGATTATGGCACCCATACTGGAAGATAAATTATACTGTTTTTTTTTGTTCTGGCTAATTAATCATACTTTGTCACTTTAAACCTTTAAATGAAAGTTCTCACATCTACAGTATGGAAATTTGAACCAGGCACCAGTTGTGAAATTCAAAGTTTCAATTAAAACATGAAATAACAATAGTAACCTTGTATGCAAAGGGTTCTGTTGTTGATTGCGTGTTTAAAATAAAAATTGCAGAAACAGGCACTCTCTCAGATAATGAGTTAAAAAGGTTTTGAAAATACCTTGCTGTGTAGGTGTTTTCAGAGATATCAATGCCAAGGTGGAGAACCACAGAACAATTATTACTAGAGCTTTTTGATATAACATCCTGAATTTTGTGATTATCACTAACAGCACACTTATAAACTTGTTTTAGTTTAAATTAGTCATGCATTTGCCAAAGAATGAAGCATTGCACTCAAAATAGAAAACTTTAAAAAGTTATTGCCAGATCTAAAAACAAACAATTTTAGTTAGGCTTTTTTTGCTGCTGCCATGTGGGTATTTACGCAAAAAGCTAAAAATAACTTGAATATCTTGTTTCATTAAAAAAAGAAAACTATGTCAGTTAGGGATGTTATGACTACAATCCCATATTCCCAAAATGCTTCTTCAAAGGCAAAAAGGGGATTACTGTATATTGTTAAACTGTACCTGTTGAGATTATACGGTTATGTCAGTTTTTCTCCAATACCTTCCATTGGTATTGTCTTCTAATGCTGTGTATTTCTGACTTACAGTACAAGAATATGAATCATATGCTTGTCACAGTTGTCACATCTACTGTATATTTAAAAATCCATTTTTGGCCTACATTCCTGAAGGGTTAATGACATACAAATATTTGTTGCAGATGCAAATTAAATTCTAATTAAACTGCAATTAAGAGCTCTTCAGTAGGAACTAAACTGCACTGTCAAAAGAAAAATCTACAAAACTAACTAATGGAAGCCCATTGCTGACACTTCAGTTATTGTAACTAAATATTTGCAGTCTTCATCATGATTCAACAGGCCCATTAAGGCTCAATATATTCACACTAGTGTTATAATACAGAACAAGCTTTGAAATGTAAACATTTAAACTTCATCCATTTTAACTGTGTCAAAGAAGGCAGAAAGTGCAGTCCCATATCTGTGAACGTATGAAGTTGCTAGTTTGAGTATTATATCTGGATATAAATGCTAGTGACAAAATGCTATAGAGAGATTTAAAAACCACATCAGTGCACACTGGAAACTAGCAGAAATGGTAATGGCAAAACTTTCAAAACTGGAAAATAATATTAGAATGAAAAGCCCCAATTTTTCACTCTTTATAGCGATTGACCTTGCTATGGTTATTCCACTCAGTTGTGAACTAACATAGAAAGTAAAGGAAACACCTTGATTCCTACAATAAAATCAGTAAAATACTGTATCTACACAGATGCTTCACTCTTACAAGTTGTGAATAACACCTCTATGGTAGTACTATAGTATATTACTAATCATCCCAGAACACCATTATTTAGCTGTCTGGGATCCTGTTACCTTTGTACAAGCCTGATTAAATGCATATTTTAATACATAAACTTACAAAACATACAAACTTATACAATTCTATATACAGATTATGTCCAGTAACGTGCAAACTAATATCATGCTACTAATATCAGATTTGACTATTTTTACCGTTTTTTTTTTCAAATGAAAGGTTTATTGAAAACTGTAATGATCAAATTGAATACTCCTAAATGTGAAGGATACTGAGTGTCAGCAAAACCTGAAAAGAAGATATCAAATGTGAGATTTACTGATTGCATAGATATTCAAACCCTTAAGTCAGTATTTGGTGGAAGCACCTTCTGGTAGTAATTGCTGCTTTTAACTTTTTTTCATTGGTCTCTTATAGCTTTGCAGAAGTGTTAATATGAAATTGTGACCATTCTTCCTGGCAAATTGCTCCAGTTCTAACATGTCTGTTTGGTATATTTACTGCAATTGTCAAGCCTTGCCATCAATTTTCTATTGGATTAAAGTCAGACTTAGACTGCAATTTTACTCTCTTCTCATCAAATTAATTCAGTGTGGTTTTGGCTGTGTGCCACAGATCATTGTTTTTCTAAGATGTGAATTTAGTGACTCAGGAAGGTTTTCCTCTAGTATGTGCCTCTACTTTGCACCACACATGTTTTACTCAATCCTGACAAACTTCCAAGTCCCAGCTGATGGGGAGCAGCCCCATAACATGATGCTGCTACCACCATGCCTGACATTTAGGATGGTGCTGAATGCGTGAGGTGCTGCGTTGGGATTGTGTCAGACATAATGCTTTGCCTATAGACAAAAATCTTTGATAAAGGCTTTTTCTTTGACACTCCCATATACAGGACATTCTTATCAATATTATTGATGTATGAACAGTGACTCCTATCTAAGAAATGGAAATTTGGAAATCTTTGAAAGCTTTCACAGTAGCACCTAACCACTAGTTTTTGTCTGCCTAGCTTTTCAGTTTGGACTGACCTAGGTAATGTCCACGTGGTATGATATACATTGGACTTGCTAGCTTCACTGTACTCTAAGTGATAAGTAACCTTCTCCAAATCAGTGCTTCTCGACCACTTTATCCCTGATTTGTTTTGAAAGCTCCTTGTCTTCAGGGTTGGTTTACCTTATCACTATGTGAGTTGTGGTTTCAAATTCTACAGTATATCAATGTAACAGATGTTAGATCAATTGTAGTCAAGTTAACCATTTACATCACACACAGATAGAGAGAATCCCACAAAGTTTGTAACCTTTCAAACTATGCTTTCACCTGAAGTGATTTAGGGTTGCTGCAGTAAAGAGAACAGATACTTATGCAATTGTAAATTCTTCTATTTAAATCTAATTTACAGACTACTGGCATTGTTTAGCTTCATCAGTTTGTATAGATTGGAGATGTTTGAAGGTGTGAGTGCATACTCAGACACGAACAACTTGTGGAAACTGTGCAGAAGGCTGAATACTTTTGCATGGCACTGTGTTAAAATACCATTTGGTTAACAGGATGTCAAACATTTGAAATTACTCAACATACAGAGTGAATAAATAAGGTAAACTGTTAAAAATAAAGACGCTATTCAAGGCTACGGGAAAGAAGGCCAGACTTCAGCTAACTACAGGGAGCAGGACACTGGGAAGGGCTAGGAGAGTCCAAATTCAGAACACATTTGTGCCTACGAAACTCACATAAGCACCTGAACATTAATGTCATTAATGCTGTGCTGCTAAGTGAAATTTCACTAACTTCTTTTATTCAGCATTTTCTTGAAACATTTGACACATGCTGAGGAGCACTCTTAACTTCAGCCTTTACGAGGCACGGAGCCAATACGACTGGGACTCTAAGTTGCTAGGCCAAAATATGTTCTGAATCTGGCTTTGGGTGGGGGGGACCTTTACCTCATGTCACCCGCAACTGAGTGTCTCCTCCTACTCAGGTCTTCTGTACTGTGCTTCCTTTCAGTGTGTTCATGCTTTTCCTCTCTGCCATTTAACTCCCATGAAATCCTTCTCTCTTTTTTCTCCTCACCTTTGCAGCTTTCTAAGGACTTTGACCTTTTCACGGCACGGCACAAAGGCATGCAATGTTTAAGTAATATCATTCACATGAAAAAGAATAAATAAAAACAGTAAATGAATAAACAAAAATAAACAGTGGCAAGGAATCCTGACTCACAAAGTTGGGTTAATATACAGTTTAAACATTCCATTTCTTCACTTCATCATTTTCTCCCTAAAATTAAAGCATTACCTCAAAGTTCCTGTAAGCAGTAAGGCCTGTGATTTTGCTTACTAGTATTTTTTGGAACATAAATTGAAATTTTACAAGATTACATAGTACACATTCACATTTAGTCACAAGACCTTAGATGCAGAGTTGCAGATTTGCATTCATTAAAATGACTAAGAATGCAATAGCTGGTCCTTATAGTGCGCCAGTGGTGTAGCGGTATTATGCTGGCGCATACAAATAATGCTGTTGTCTATATAAGTGTCCTGTCTGACCTGTTTTTTGTATTTGCACCGTGGACCAGGAGGAACGATATTTCGTTCCACTGTATACTTGTATATGGCTGGAATGACAAATAAACATGAACTTGAACTTGTCTCTAATGCTTGGTACAAGCTGCCGAAAGTGGATTTTACCTGATTCTGCCCCTGGGACGCTCGGATTGTATTGACATGTAGCTTGTGCTACTGAGGCGAGAGGCACTGCTGGTACGAGAAATGGCTGACACGTCACTGATATCGCTGTCCGATGATCTAGTGGACACATTGTCACAGCTCCTGTGCTGTTCTTTGTAAAGCTGGAAAGCAGAGAATGACAGACTTTGAGATAACGACTGGTCTTCTGGAACATGACATTCTCCTCCATCTCTGTCACGATGGAGGCAAACAACACACTGGTCTTAACATGTAGAGGTTCCTCTGCTGTGTAAAGGCCCCATAGAAATATGTTTAGATGGCATTTTTTATTTTTTTATTTTTGCAGGAGTCTTTTACCTCACGCTTCGTCTTCAGTTCCCGCTCAAGTTCCTGACTGGAGCTGGACATGGCAGATGTCTTGTAGGAATGTACTTTCATTTGCAGCTGTCGTGCGCGTTCCTCTACAGCAAGAGCTACAGGAAGAGGGAGAGTTTGCAAGGGTTTTCAACTTGCAATAGATTCATTTACACAGAAATCAAAACATATATTAAGTACTAAGACAAAATGTGTGGTGTACAAGTCATAAAAAACAGTGCAATTTACATGAATTTCAGCAAGGATATTAGGTCTATATCATCATTCTCCTCTGTCTTTGCATTGCATCCCTCATTCTCTAAATTCCATGTCATTGAAGGACAAGTAAAAAGCAAGTCTGATCAAAAAGAGGACTGGACTGAATTGCACAGCACTCATTTTAAAGTACAGTTGGAAACATCTGGTGTGAAGGTGATAGCCATGCAGCACACAGTAGGACAAACGAATTTCTCCTCTAAAGATCAGCATTTTCTTTGCAACATCTACGCAGCATATAGCACTGGGTATTGGGAAGCTAAGTATTTTAATAAAAAAGGAGAAATGCATTGTTCTTTTCTGGAGTCCTAGGGTTTAATAAAAAAAAAAAACCCACAAAGCATATAATTAACCCAACAGTTGCAGACTTCTTGTTTTACCAGAAGTTTTGATCAGGAAGATGTTTCATCCTTTTTGATCAGACTTGCTATTTACTTGTCCTTCAATGACATGGAATTTAGAGAATGAGGGATGCAATGCATAGACAGAGGAGAATGATGATACATGTCAAAAACTGATGCCACTGGGATGGGCAAAAGAATCTGCCTTGTTACTCTGATGTGCAATGACTGTGCATTGCCAAATGAAGCTTTATATTGCGGTATATAAATCAGCCATCAGGCCAAACAGTGCGCCTTTACATGTGGAATTCCATCTTCACGGCTTAATACATACATATGTATTGTCACAAGATAAAGCATTTCCATAAACCACTGCTGTAATAAATACAACGATTCTGCTTCCTAACATCTAAGATATGTAATACTCAATGAAAACAATAACATCACAACAGATCTGGGGGTCTAGCATTTTTTTAATTAACTTTTACACGGTATAAAGAAGTAAATAAATCTAATTTATTTTATGACAAAGCCAACTATTGTATTTTATATAGTGTAATAATAGTAGGAATTTTAAAGTTACATGACCTAAACTACAGTATGATTAATTTGTTGGTACAACTAACTCCATTCACAGGCACACTTTCCTATTATGCTGACTACACTGTTTAGGTACTGTATTAAGACATTATTTGCTTTTATTAATTTAGAAGACTGAATTCATAAAAGGAAAGTTTCTTGTTTAATATTAAAGTGCAAAAACTTTAGGACTATAATCCCATTACAATCACTACAATTTGGAAGTTTGGTAAAATGTCCATATAAACCAAGAAAATAAATGGATAGTGAATCAATAAAGAGGTCAGAAGGTCATCTGTTTAACATATAATATTTAACTGCAACACAATTATTGTGGCTTATCTTGGTTTATAGGATCGGAAGGATCATCTCCAGCTACCTTTTGAAAAATGCACAGCATGTCCAGTAGGCTGTGGGGAATACCGAACACTTTTTCTAACCAATTAAATAGAAAATTAAAATGATTGTAAGGAACTTGACTCCAACACATTCAAAAATGCCACTGTATAAAAATGTTGCACTTCTGGACAAAGCATCAAGTCTGAATAAGTAACACAAACCTTGACTAAATAAAATAACTTCAGAACCAGGCAGACTAACCCTGACATGAAGGCAACAATTATTTGTATTCAATTTACAACTAGTGCGATACTTTAAGTTGTACTCTTATTTCTTGCAAGGTGCCATGAAGGTGGTTGGCATGCATGTCTGAATTGAAGAAAACATCCATCTTAGTTTTGTCTGTCTCCATTTCGGGTCATACAGTATGGTTCTGAACATTTATATACAGTATGGAGTTTTGAATGAAAGACTGGGAGGGGATTAAACCCTAATCTCTCCATTTTCCATTTGCCATCCTATCAATGCTTCTTGTTAAGTCACATTTGAGTTTAAAATCAATGGAGGGAAACTCCACCCCATCTTCCCTCTTTCAGCAGCTCTGTGGCTCTTCGTATGTTATGGGGTTGGGGAGTAGTTCTGACTGTGTCATCCTTACAGACAGGCTGTAACGCTCTTCAGTCAGGTGAGTTACTCCAATAAAGCTCAACTTCTCAATCATAACGTATCAAACTGCATCACTACATATTGGTACTTAATTAAAAATGGCAAAATGTTGGGATTATTGCATCATATACAGCTACTTCCACTGATATTACTTTTTACTCCTACTAATTATCCATGTGCTGTTCATTTATTCAAAGCATTATTACTCACTTATACAGTAGAGTATTTTACTGAGGCAATCAGAACACAGTACCTTGCTCATGGATACAACAACAGAGCTCCAACTGGAATTTAAACCCACAATCATCTAGTTACAACAGCAATTCCAGAGCTCTAACTGCTGCTTTTCACTGTTACTGAAAGTAACAGTGATCTACCTTTATTTTCCAAATCAAGCTAATCCAATTATTCATCTTTCACACAAATCGAGGTTTTCAAAACAATCTGATTGAAAGAACCTGCACAGTGAAAAAAAAACTTTTCACCACATGTCTTAACAAAGCGCTACGTAAGCATTGCAAAAATGGGTAGCGCTGCTTTCCTTTTGGGTTTGCAAACAGTATCCCACAGTACCTTGCTCTATGCTGCTGCTTTTCACTGGGACCTGCGGAAGCTGCCTTCCTCTGCGTCCTGATAAAGGCGTCCCGCTTGGAGGAGACTGAGATAGGCTGCCATGCTGATGTGCTCTGTGGATATGGGGACAACAAAGACAGGCAGAGACAAGACCTGTAAGCACCTGTCAGAATCAAATGCAATGCAAAAACAAGTATTCACTAGCACATGTATTTAGGAATAGATATCATTTGTATTTACTACCAAAACGATGATCCACATCCAAACCTCCAGCAGTTTATCCATCCAGAGTTGAGATTTTAATAATCAGTTTATTTCTTTCCTCATTCTGCTTTTCTAAAAACTGTCGAAAATGTTCCAGCAGACATTCTGCAGCTCACGCTGTTTCTCTTACCTTTGCCATGCAAGAATATGGTCCTGTCTGCTTTCAATAATGGTCAAAACATGGTTGTTTCTCACAGTGAAAATAAACCTAATTCTTTTTACTTACTTGTGACATTGGACAGACACAAGAGTTTTTTTTTCTCCTCCAGAACTATAAAAATAATAACACACAGAGACTGTACTGCCTATAATTACTTTAACCATAGAAGCAAAATACTGAAGGCCGCCAACAACAGTAAATAAATCCCAGACAGAGACTAAAGAGTAGTTAGGCATGGGAGAAAATCACCAAACAACTTGGAAATAAGGAGAGGGGTCCCAGAAAGCACAGGTTTCCAAAAGATGTAATGATAAAAGGTGTATCATTACCAGGAAACCAGCAGAACAACTGGACAACGTGGATTTGGGGCCAAATGTAATCAATTCCAGAGAAAGAAGGAGGAGATGCACTCAGGAGTCAGTGAGGCACAACACCAAACAAGGGAGGCAGACAGCAGCACTTCACTGCACAAAGAATACCACCTGTGCATCAGGGGGGAGGCGGGGGCTGACCCGCCAGGAGTAATCTGATAGACAGATCGGAACATTCGTTCACTAGGCCGCTCGCTCGACCTGGAGCGGGTCGGCTTCCTCTCTTTAACGCTAAGGTGATCAGGTGATCTCGGGGCAGAAGAGATTCCCCTCCCACTAGATGTTAGCCGCTCTCTACAAACAGGCGGGAAAGAGCAAAGTAAAAACAGCGCAGTAATTTATCGACATGAACACGGCTACTGCCGCACCAATAAAACAAATAGAAACGTCATCATTCCTCAGCTCTTCGAAGTCCAGGACTTATTGTTCAGATTTTCAGGTGAGTCTGACCCGTAACGCCTTCAATTTCAATTAAACCAGCAATTCTTTACATTACACCCTCTTTCACATTCCAATGCTGTAATTTCAATTTAAAATCTCAAAAAAGCAAAAAAAAGCAGTTATTCACAATATACTGTATACTGCTGCGGTCAAATTATGTTTTTATTATTTTCTATTCAAACAGATGTCAGATCTGTGTACTCAAGGATTGTGACTTTGTAAGCATATATTATTTACACAAGAAATTAACACACACACGCTCTGTTTGCATACTGTATTTAACAAATATTTAACAATAGTATAGTTTATTATAGTAATAACCTCTAAAATATACAAAAGTAACAGAAATTAATTTTGAAAAAGTGTACTTACAAATATTTTAAGTTACAGAATTTGGGAAAACAGAATAAAAAATATTTTACTGAGATAAGATAAAAGCAAATTTAAAAATATAAAAGAAAAATAATAATTGTTCCCAAGAATGTAACACATAATCCTCAAGTGTAACATACTGTACAATATGCACCTCATAAGACATTTTTGCACTGGTGTGCACGTATTGTGTGAAAGACTTCCAGAAGAACTGATTCTATTTAGCACTTTTCATTGGTTTTCAAAAACTTTTTTTTTTCAATTTTGTTCTGTTATTTTCTTCGAAACTCTTAAACTGTATATCGCCAACATTTTGGAAAGCTTTGTTGAAGAAAGGCATTAAATCAAATCTGCCAAGTTTCAATTTCTGTGAATTCTGACCAGTTTTATCCAGAACTGAAACCATACATTCTAAATACATACTGTATACACACTAACATCAATATCACAGAGTACATATGGGAGTGCATAATTCAGCATTAAAACAAGACCAATAACAAGATCAATGAACAAAATATTTTAAAGCACTATAATAAAAGTCAAGATAATACTGAAACAACACTACTGTACTGCTTTTTTTAAACTTGGTTAAAGCGCTTCCATCAGGTCAAGTATAGATACTGAACAGATCAGGGCAATGATCCATATTTTCAAAGAACACACAACTGGAATGCTTATTATCCAAACCCTTTTTAATGCACATTTAATCAATACCATTAAACTGAAAGTCCAGATAAAACATGTATAGTAGATGAAATGTCAAAAGAAATCTACAAATCCCATTCCATTCTATGGTTATCCAATGTGATAACGATCCAGCATACACATTCACAGTTGCGGTTGGACAAGAAAATAATGCACATAAATCATGCTTATGCATTTTTAAACATGGTGCTCATACTTGGAAATGTAATAAAAAAACAGAAACAAATTATTAGCACGGTATACAGATATATATTTTAGGCCTCATAAAAGTGTTAGTAAAAGCATCCATCTACAGTAAGCAGTTTTAATTCCAACCTAGAAAGTACCATTTGTGATCTTCTGGGGAATGAATCCTGACCTACAGTATGTAAATGATCTGTGTTTAAAGTTAAAAAAACAGTCAGAATAAAATATTTACAAAGTAGTGCTGGCATTTCAGCTTATGTGACCATCAACCTGAATAGTGCTCTTTAACGTAGACAAGCTTGCCAATAGGTGTTTGTTTAGCTAGCTTGCCTACCATGGGCAATGGGAAAAAAATAACCACTAGCATTTCTTCCCCAGTCAAGAGAATTCGGATAAAAGCACTACTGAATTTCAAATGGCATTTCTTTTGTATTTACACATTTCAGAACTTTCTGATGTGGGTGTTGCTGAAATCATCTTAAACTAAAACGTGCATGTACTGACATCCTTAATTTAAAAACAGACTCATTATTTAACACCGAAGTTCCCAATCCTTTAACACCACCACAAGAATGTTTTGAGAAAATACAGTACAAGCAAACACACTTATTGTTCTTTTAAAGGTAATCTGAAATGAAATGAGCGAGTGTGTTGATGACTTACGACATTACTAGTTTAACCATTAAGAACTTTTCCGAACAAAATCTCTTTAAAAGCATCACTCTGTTATCACTAGGAAAATGGAGGCCACAGTTGATCCTACCTTTCACTTTCAGGTGCGCTGTTTTTTCTACTATGTTTTTGAGAGCTAGACCTTTCCAGTGTTCTTGACTGCCTGCAACATGGGAAGTGACATGGAACAAAAAAAGAAAAGAAAACAAAAAGTGAAGAATGTGGAGATGGCAAAATGGAAAAGAAGCATTACGTCAAAGGTTAATGGAAATAAATGAACGCCTTCGTCGTTAAAATCACCGTTTTTCTTTGTCAAAATGATGCATACATCTCTTGGTTTAGTGTTATTGATCTATGCAGTGAATGATGATAATGCTTAGAAAAAATACAACTGAACAGATTCCAGGATGCCAACCGATCATACTGCCAAATGGCACAACGTAAACGAGAAACGTAAAACCTTCTCCGCAAACTGGACAAAGGCAAAGTTTTGAAAGGTTCAGAAAAACACACTGCAGATCACTACGATTTTGATGTGTTTTGATGGACAGCAACACCACACAGATAACATTTTAGTGAGCAGTTTAGATCTGCAGTATATTGTAGACTCAATACAGGAGCTCAAGGAACCATCCAGAAAGCTGAAAAATGTAATTTATGATATGTTTGGAAAAAAACAACACCACAAAGAGAATTATTCAGTTTTGATCGTTTTACTCTATATTTCCTGCATGATTGTTTCTTGCATTTCCACTGAGTGCAAATTTTCTGTGTTACTACTCACCCTGTACAAGGGCTTCTGTTAATCAAATGACTAACAAATGATGAAATAGTAGAAAAATAGAAGAGGTGGATATGCCAAGTGAAAGTGGCAATGAGGAATATGTTTAATCTCACGTTAATGTGAAACCTACTGTTTTATTCAACATATTAAAAAAATATATAATAATAATATATAGCCTGTTTGAAACTCTAATGGAAATGTAACCATGAATGCTTAACCAGGAAAATCAAAGTGCAGAGTTTCTTTGAAACATGTGCAATATGGCAGTAACAGTGAAATGATAAACCCTTTAATACCACCAGCTGTCAAACGAGACTCATAACCAGTGACACCAGGTTGTCTAGGTCTTTTTATCTGGAATCTAGAAAGAGGTTTGGAGAAAAGTTGTCTGTAGATATCACGTTTTGTCAACAACACAGTTCTCTCTGTTGGTGCTTTGTTACCAAAAACACTGGTATTCATCTTTATATAAAACAGGAGAATGAACCTGTGAGTATTTTTTGTCTACAATTAAGAAACTGCAGAAATTCCCAAAAGATAAAATATATATTGGGTAATGTTTATCTTCATTTAAAGTCTCTGACCAAGTCTATAAATATTGACGTATACAGTATAGCTGTTTTAAAATTAGCTTATTTATATGATGATAAATCTTCATGATATATGTTTTTGACTTTTACTTTTGTCATTGTTGTTGCTGTGCTTTGCTTCATAAGATAAATTCTGCCACCTTTGTTCTACAGTATGTGGGCCACATGGAGGAAATGTGTCTGTTTTATCACACAGTTATGTCTCGTGTGCTGCAGGATATTGTGCAAATAGTAAAATGTGACATTTGAAGATCTAGTGAGTCTATATTAGGAGATTAGACACTTTGTAAGAATTTAATGAGTACAGAGCAAGATTTTCCGCACAAAACCTACGATGAGACAGACAGAGGGCACCACATCTTTCGAAAGTCTTTGAGATAAGTGCTTCTGATATCAAAAACAAAACAAAACACTCACACCCCTCCCCCCAACCAGCACACACACACACAGTTTTATCATCAAAATTAGGAAAAGGTAATCATTATTTGCACTTAATTAGAGGTTCTTTAAAAATAATTAAAAGCCATAAATGCACAAAAATAAACAAACCATTACAGATCCCCCATTTCAATTAGCAAAGCTAAACAAGCCTGTATAAAGAATTAAAACAGCTGGCAAATCAGTTAGGTCACTTTACCCGTACATCCAAAAATACATAAATGTAAACCTTTAACATTTTAAAAGGCATTAAAAAGTTATCTCTAAGCTATAATGCTAGCAGATACAATGCTTCTGTGTGTTCCAGTCACCCAGCAGTGTGCATGGAGGTACCTCTGCAGTGCCCCTGGTTTAGCACTGAGGTGGTTTATAGTCTCCTGCTTAGGGACAATAGGCTCCAACATCCAGCTTCGCCGTTAAAAAGGAAGAAACATGGAGGTGAATGGGGAAAAGAGTGGAGAAAACAAAAAACACACAAAGACAGTTACACACAATGGGGATGAAAATGTATATCAATAGCACAACATTTCAGTGCTTCCCTTTCATGAGTATTATTGCTTACTTGCCAGTCACAATCTGCAGCCACAAACATTTCTCTTTCCTGCAATCACTATCTAGTAATTTTTAGAATTTAATAAACCCTCAGCCCTGCTCCAAGAGTAAGAGTTTCTTTAACTAATTAAGTAGTAAAATTACAAACTATCCAATATCCTATTAATTTTTTGAACATACTTTTTTTTTTACAAAAGGTTGCAGGATATTTTACTTTTTAAGAACCGGCATTATGTGAATTTTTATTCCCTGGAAGCATTTAGTATTTACAGTAAATGATATGAACTTGTGAAACTCTAGATATTTGGGTACTGCTGTACTATTAAAATACATTGAAGTGAACCACATCTACTAAAATAACAACACAACCTAAATAACAGCGATCAAGATGATGAACTGCAATGAAGTGTTAAGACAAATGGTGGATTCTTATGTTGTATACGCAATCAGGGAGAACAGGGTACTACAGTCTAAGTTGTTCTACTGCTAAGAAGCTACAGTATGCCAGGCTCTACTGGGGACCACAGAGCACAGGAGGACTGTACCAGTACCTGTCGTCCTCTGGGGAGGCATGCTGGATTAAAATCCTGGGACTTGTAGGTCGCCTCCTAGGCAGTGACTGAGAGGATCTATCCATGATTGCCCCATTGACAAGATAGGAAAGACAGAATGAGTTAGGCTGCAGAGTTCCAAAGCGCAATCAGATTGGGACTGAAGGCAATAAAACCTGCAGCAACAGTCTCCTAAAATAATTTATTTTCTCCATTGAAAATCGGAACATAGCTCTGGAGCCTCAGAGCTACTTAGCCACTTTTGTCTCTGGGCAGCAGGAAGGTACATGATGACATAACAGGGGTTATGCTTTAACTTAGTTCCCAAAGGAAGATCTAATGTCAAGATCTCCTGGGCTCCCAAAAACCTTTGACATTTATAAGACTGTCGAAGAGCCTGCCTTAGGTCAGCCAAGAGGAAGCAACCAAAGCTAAGAGCGCTTTAACGTGAATTAGCAGAAAAGGTATTTCATAAGAATCACTTACACAGGAACATAAAGTAACACAATAATTCAAAATTAAAACAGCAAGGGCATTGAAAGAAACGTTTAAAGAGAAAAACAACATATACACAAAAATCAATGACTGGACACATAAGCACAACAAAAACTAAATACAAATGAATGCAGAAATGTGGACCTATTAACTTGTCAGTGTTCAAACAGCAATGAGGTCACAGATACTGTATATTAAAATAATAAAAAGCACTATGCACACTAAACTTCTGTAAATGTGTTGCAAAAACAAATAAGATCTTGACATTCTTTAGATTCAGTCTCAATTTTGATCCAACAATCTAATTTTTCAAACTGAATAATGCTGTTATCTGGTTTGAAGCATTAGATTATACCAAACCCACAGCTTGCCACAGAGACAGTTCAATGACATACTGTATGCTATACTTTGCACTAAAAACAGCAAAAAAAAAAATCATTTTCAAAACCTTGTAGCTAGGTGTAAGAGATACGATATTGTACTTTTTGGTCATAATGTGTATTTATTTTAACCACTAAAATAAGCCATAATTTCATCTTTGAAACAAATTGATTTTTTGCTTTGAAATGCATTCTTAATATAAAATTACCATTATGCAAAATTCTCCATATAATGAAAACAAAATAAAAATGATCACCGCAAAGTGCTTATGAACACCGTACAATAACCTTTACAAAACTTCAGAAATGGTACTGTAAACTGACTACTGCAATTTCAATCTTCTAAAGTGCTTGGAGGCCTTATTGGAATGTCACTAGATGTAGCCCTGGCCATAAGATGTGTGCAGTAGCTTCATACTGCAAAAATGATTTAGAACTGATGAAAACTATGATTATTCTAAATTTATGACACATGCAGTATAGTACTGTATGTACTGTAGGTCTGCTTAGATTTATATGCTTAGAACACATACAGTACTTAGCTCAGCTATACTTAGAGAGGCATAATATAACAAACATAAAATGGGGCAAAAGGCATTTTATTGTTACAATATTGTTTATGTGGTAATCTACCAAGTTATAGTTTAATTGCAATGCAAATGATATTGTAACTCTATGGAAAAAATGAAGAGGCAATAAGACAATCTTATCCAATTTGGTGGATGTAAATAGCCGAAGTGAAGTGTGTGTACAATCTCTAGGCATCCCACTTGCATCATGTATAGTATCTCCATTTGAAACTGACTATACAACCACATGAACAAGCCCACAGCCAGTGCACATCAACAAAGCCTACTGTATTTCAAGCAAGAGAATCACCAGCACAAGTAAAAATAAAAAAGAAAAATATTTTCTGTGTACCTTTCTCGTTCTGGTGAATGGAAACTAGTATCTGGTCTCAAACAGTTGGTACTAGCACTTCTAAGCCTGTCAAGAGAGGGCTGGAGGTCACTAGTGCCAGTACATTGCATCCAAAGGGTGGTAGAGAAAGGAGAAAGAAAGGAAAACAAAAGGAAAACCATGTTAGATACTAAATCATAAAGGACATGTAATCTTAACACATGAAAAGAAACAACAAGTATGAGGCCATTCCAGATGTTAAAAGAAGCTGAAATGATTACTTCTAAAGTTGTAAGCTGAATCCTTTTGAAATCAAAATATGGGATAGCAAAATAAAGACTATACAATGAATTTCAGAATTCAAGCTCTTATTTTCAAGAGTAGGCATCAGGAAAGTTAAGCATCTCCTTACTCTTTATACCTAAATAACTAAGCACACTGCTTCTAAAATAGCTGAGAAATATAAATAATTTATCGAAAAATTAACAAAAAACTAGAGAGTAAATTCAGAAATAGCATGTTTTCAGCTCTTTTTTAATATGTATACTTTACTCCAAAACTTTGAATGCTTCTTTCATTTTTCATTATTCAGGAAATTTATTCATTTTTCAAATATATTTCAGCAATCTGACAGTACAGCTGTTATCCAAGATGTATTGCACATAAATTATAAGTCCAATAATTGATCACAAAATTCATAACATGTTGTTGTAAACTCTATAGTTTGTCCTCACACTCTGTCATATTCACTTTAAAATGATTTCAATAGTCAATGTGTAGTAGCCTAAATGATTAACTACACATAAAGCAGATATAAATCTCAGTACTCTACGGAAATAAACTGTGACATTTAAAATTTTCTTCAGTATATGATATGTACATGATGTAATCAGTCAATTCAAAGTGACTGCATAAATCACAACTTCTGGGAAAAGGACAGGACAAATATTAAGCATGTTTATTTTTGTTCATTTTCTGTGTTTCTTACCTACTCATGATTTCATCTGTGAATCTCAGAACTCTTGTGTTAAAGGATGTGCGAGGGTTCGGTGGATCCTTTCTAAGCAGTGACTTAGTCTTTAAACATGCAGGCAGAGTGGAGCTTAACAAACAAAATATATTACAAAATGACAAAGGCCATGCAGAGAGAACACATGCAAAACTAAAACCAGGTAAACAAAGTGTTGTGACATAAAAATAGAAAAATGTATAACCTTTATGGTTTATCTGTAGATAGTCCTGAATCTTTTTGTAATAAATATTTGCCAGGGAAATAAGTCTTTATTTTACTATAAATTGTCAGAACTTTCATTTTAATTAACTTTTTTAGCCAAGAATGATAAGCCAAACAGAATCAACTTGTTTTTAAAAAATCCACAGAGAAACCACTGGAATAAATTAGAGCAATTATTTTTCCTGTTGTTCTGTTTTGCTTATTATACCAAGCACACATTAGAGTGTGTGTTTCTAGCCAAATTTCCACATGCGGTTAAATGTCAAGTTCAAAAAAATAATTATTACATCCTGAAAGAAGCAACTCATCTTCTACAGGACATAGATTTCAAGCAGCAATATTTTAACTCCTGAAATGGTTGATTTGCCAGTTTTCTAATTATGAACAGTGCACAAATGCTAATGTAAAGCAGATACAGGCAGTCAGTTGCATGAAGCTTCAAACAAACTAAATATGAAGATTCAACACTCAATAAAGCTATAGTAGTACTTTCTATCCTGCATATTTCAAAAGGATTTAGGACCCTTTTTTCAATGTTGTGTCTACGGTAGTCTGTGAAGTATATTATTGACCTGCTCTACACACTGTTTGTTATAGAAACTATTCCAGAATATGTTTTGGAACTGACCTATTAGTTTATCTACACATTACTATATGAAAACAGAGAAATGACCAACTTCTTGCTACAACATTTAAAAACAAATACTGTAATTCAGAATCAAAGTAATGTAACTACTTGCAGTATTAATATGGGACCTTGAATATACAACCAGCAGTCCTCTGTAGAACCAGCTATTCCAAGAGAACCAGAAAAGCATAGACTAAGCTCAACACAAATCTAGCCTTGTGGCTGCGTAACAGGCCATCCAGACACAAGAAATATGAATTCCCTGTAGGTCTCTATTGCTTCTGTCCCAGCCCATTACAATAGAACTAGCAATTGTAAAGTTAAATTGTTAAGTTCACAGTCTTATCATCAAAACAAAACTAGTTTACATAGACTCCCAAAAGAGACTATGTAGATTTTTTCAAAGCTTCTCAGTCTGGAAGCCAATTATGCTCCTAACTTACAGAAAGTAAAGGTTTAAAGGTACACTTTCTGCAAGACCCAACAATGATGAGATTAAAGAAAATGCTGAATATGTACACTATATTGTTATTAGCATCTAGTTTATCACGAGTTAGAAACAATTTGAGTAAATTTCAAGATTAGATAATTAAGCATAAAATCTAAGCAGCTGCCATGAACCAATTCTTCTAGAAACACCATTTTTATCTTTTTCATTCGATAGAAAAGACTGCACAGCAATTTAATTAAGTGAAGGATGTGTTTTGGCTCCACAAGAGACCATGATTGTCATATGATGTTTTTTTTAGAAACTAGCTATGCAAGAAACAAGTACAGTATTAACTCCAAAAAAGCATTGTAGCTTATACTGTAGCAATTTCCAATTAATTTGCACAGTTTCAAAGGAAAAAAAAGGAAGTAGGGTAAATAAGAAAGATCAAGGTCTAACAATTCTGTGCTCAAGGCTCTGTAGCTCAATAAATTACTTCAGGTACTGTACAAATCCTCAGCGAATGATACATGATTCAGTAAACAGAACAAATGTTTACCTTCTGTGATGGGTATAGCGATCTAAACTGCTGATACGTTGTTGGAAAAGTGTAAAGATTGTTATAATTCTGTTTCTGTAAAACCTATCAGGAACCTGAGGATAAAACATGGCATGCCATCAAAGGCAATGTGTAATGAGAAAATTAGAACAGCAAAAGATTTCTCCCTCTTAATAGTTTCATTTTAGCTTTAGGAAATAGCACTTTTTATATATTTGAAGCAGTAATTTAAATAATCATAACATAATGAATTTAATAAAATATTTCTGTGAAAGTCTGGGATATTAGTACTGTCTAATGTGTACTAGGTGCTTCTGGACAGGAAACAGAATAAACTCCATCAACAAAGACATCAAAGAGAAAATGATTAGCTTAAGATCACAAAAACAAAGTAACTGTATGAACAGAAAACATAACCCATGAATTCATTGAAACTGGAGAGTTGCCATAAAGCAATGGTAGAATTCAGCAAACAAGCAGCTTAAAAGTGCCAAGTCAGTAACCACAGAAAGAGAGTGATGTGAAAAGAAAAGAGATTTACAGGGAAGAGCTGGGAAACATGGGGCAGCTGTTAGACAATGACAAAGTAAAGCGAGGCACAGAATATAGGGAATAGTGGGTGGGGTGGATCACTTGCCTCCCAGTATCTGATATGACTCCTTACCTGTATATGTTCCTGTGAATACCATTCACTAACAACGGCATCTTGGGAGGTAATGTTTTGCTGTATTTAATTGAACTTCTTATGTTTGCCAGCACACAAGCGCATGCAACAAAGAAAGCAAAACAAAGCAGAAGCATGCAAGATAAAAAAGTGACTTGGGTCACTAAAAATATATTTGACAAAATGTAGATAAATGTAGTTCATTGATGTTATTTTGATTGTCACGAACTATGCAAGCATCCAATTCATTATAACAAACTCAAAGTAATGCAATGGACGTTACAAACCAATACCAAGGAATAACTATAATGCTCAAACAAAGCAGCCTAGCCATAGCTGACATATTAGCACACCACATACAATATGACATGTCAAGGACATTTCCAAGCCACAGTTTGCACTGGGCTCTGAAAAAAAGGGAACAGCGATCCAAATAACAAGACACTCAGACTGCAAACTTGAAAATTAAAAAGCCGTGAAAGTTCCCAGTGAGTTCCTCTGTCTTTATTTCATAAACAGAGTACACATTACAGAAAACAACTTCCACAGATAAATCATACTAATGACTTCTTCATGATCTTAGAGTATTTAAATATATAACTAGATTTATATTATAAAACGCAATTGGATGATTTTGAATTGTTACTGCAAATGTTCAATTAACACTCGTAAAAATAGACCAAGATGTCTAAATATCCTGAAACGTTTGACAAGGTACTTACAGAATATTTTTTGAATGATTACATTTTCTGCCAAATAACCTAAAAATTGTCTTTTAAGTGCAATTTACTTATCAAAAGTAAAAAGAAAAATGGTCTTTTCCATCAAGGAGGTCTTTCTGTGTAATGTAGCCATGGCAGACTTGTGTATGGGAATGTGAATTTAGTGATGCAAAGGTCTAACAGATAAAAATAACAAATATTCATTAGCTTTATTAAGCACTGTAAAAAGAACTAAATATTTGTACTCACTGGATACTTCACATAAAGCGCCAAAAAAACTTATATATCATATACAGTAGTTGAAATTTTTCATTTCAGAGAATCTTTAGCTTTTGCCTTATTTTCTATAGCAGGCATGTATATATTATTGCAGCAAAAAAGTAAAGGAGTTAAATATCCATGAAAATTCTATGCTGACAAAATGTAGGACAATCACCACAGAGAGAATAAGCAAATAAAAATGAGCGCTTAAAAAATGTCTCAATCAGAAAAACTGATAAATAAATTGATCGGAAATGCTTGTATGAGATTCCAAATGCAATATGCGCCAAAATAAAATAATAAAAAAACACAACTAAAAGAAAGGAAATAAACATTGTGAGTTCTCAGACTCTCAGATTTACCTTTTAGTATGCAGGCACTCTGCACTTCTCCCTCTCTTTGCTCTGGGCAGCATGAGGAACTCGCTGTGTTAATAATATGGATGGGGTAACAGAAGAAAAATGAAGTAATCAAAAAGAAGGGGAACAGATGTATAGTTGGTGACCCAGTGAAAATGCAAAAGAAAAGGCAAAACAAATAAAAGAAATCTAACGTACTTTTGTTAGGACTTTAAAAGTACAACTCTAAGAATATGGCCAAACAATGTACGGTTCTTATAAACAAAGTTGTCTATACTACTGCAGCTATTTCAGAAGCACTGGAAAACTGCACAGGTATTTGTTAGGTCTCTGGTGAACTAATGCTTTCCACATATCAGCCTTCTCTAAAACATTACCAAATATGAAACTTCTTGTTCCTGCTGTCCTATGTTTGAAGAAAGAGTGTCAATAAACAGTAATCCACACAACAATACCATATACAGTACGTAGGAACTATTAATGTAGATGAGACTTAAAGTACAACAGCACCTTCTAGTGGATATTTATTTAAAACATTCACAAAGGGTGCTGTAGCTGGCTACACTAGAAACTTATTTTTTAACCCCAGATAAGAACTAGAATGTTTATGGTGCAACCTCACTAGCCATGGCAACAGAAGTGCTTCTAGTAGAAAAACTGATTTTATAATTAATTTCAAAATAACCCATTAAAAAATGTGCTTCTTTTAAAATGTTAATCATAAGTACTAAAACAAGCAAGATGCATATTTACTGAGACATTGTGTGGGTGGGACAACTATTTATATACTGCAAGCTTGACAAAGAACACTATCATATCAACATTTTCATCACGGTGTAAACCAACATAAATCAGTATTTCCTCCATTTTTAATTTACAGTACCTCATTGTCCTTTTGCCTAGAAATGCATAATTTTTACTAAGCATTAGTTTGGGTTAAAAAATAAAGTCATTTTCATATCAAAAGCTCCAAAGTGTGCACAATTTTTATTTACCTTTGACCTAAATTCAACTTTCCAATCGTAAAAAACATTTCTATTTTTGCGCTATTTCAGTCATGAACACTGACTATGGCAGGCTCATGTGTATGCAGCTACTGAAAACAATCTTAAGGGACCAATCCTTCACAATTTTTTCTTAAAATGCATAAAGTAAACCCCAAGTTTACCCCAACCCCAAGTGTCAAAAAGTTACAAAATACTGCATATCGCACCCTGTAATTTTCATTAAGTATTACACGCAATAATACCATATTCTGAACTGTGTAACTACTGTACATTTGTGTCTTCTTTTATATTCACTATTTCATTTTAAAATTCAATGCTCACCTATAATAAAGGTACAGATCTACAGGCTTGAAACAGTGAGTGGTATATAGATTCTGAGAAGGAAATGGGTTTTTTTTTGTCAGTTGTGCACTCATACAGTTTGTTTTTGAGCAATGTTCAATATGAAAAATAACTTCAGGACGTGACACATGCTTTGCACCGAAACCAAAAATGTACCTTTCCTCTGGAAAATACTGGCTGTCCCCATCTCTGGACCTGCGATCATCCTTACTTCTAGAGGCATCATGGTATCTTGTTGGGGAACGAGACTGTCTTGACTGATGAATTTCATCTAAACTCCTACGACACAAAGAAAAGACAAAGATCTCATGACTGAGCAGAGAGAAATGATAATAACACAGAGGAACAGGAGGTGTGAACGAATGGAATTACTGTTTTGATGTATGAGTTAGGAACTATAAAGACAATGAAGTCCAAAGAGCGGAGGTCATTAATTAAAGGGAGTCTGAGTTGTTTTTCTCAGACACTCCTTAGGTGGCAGAGGGTGCCCACTACCCAAAGCAGTCCAAGGCTAGAGCAAATGCTTACCTCTGTAGTGGCACACTTGGTGGTCTGGACCGGGTCCTGCCCTGGTCATCACCGCGATGAGGAGAAACGGACCGCGAGCGGTGGTGCGCCACTCTCTGCTGTTCTGGCACAGTGAGGGTTGTAGATTTCCTTTCTTTGCTGCTAGACCTGCATTCTGCCGCTGTTTGCCATTCAAAACAAGACACATAACAGAAAAGGGTCGGTTCAAACCATTTGTACGTGGCAACCTGCAGCAGCACCAATCGAGGAATTTTATTGGCTCAGCACTACACATAACATTCACTTTAATGAGAGTACATTTTGTCATGCGGAAATCACGTTTCTCTAGGCTTCTGAAAAGCACACTGGATCAAACATGCCCAAAAAAAAGAGTTGACGGTCAAGTGTCGTCCCTTCTACATTATGCATGCAACTCAAATGAAACAGATCAGTTATTTGTTATGAAAGTGACATCCTTCTAGACATCATGCAAGAGTACGTTTTCTGGTTCGCTTAACAGGGCTGAAGCAGGAAGGCAGAGGGGTGCTGAGGAGAACGGTGTCAATACTGTATGAATATTCAATTGACTTCAGATTACAAATACATAAGCGATTGGAAATCAGAATTGTAATTTACTTTTTTACCTTACAGTAACTAGTACTGTGAATTTGAATTGTGCCTTGAAAAGCACAGGACAAGAAAATCCTTTGAGTGTTGTTTTCATTGTTCACAAGTTCAGTGATCACCTCCAGTATGTAGTGCTTTGGTACACTACCGTATGTAATGTACATGGGCAGCAGCAAACCTTTGCTCCAGAAAGAAAATCATTTAAAGGGAGAATGCTCATGGTAAAAGAAACAGCATCTTCACCACCCTCACATTTACATGTTATTTACTCTCACTCTGGGAATAACATTCGCAATGTCCATTGAGATTTCTGTCTGGCGTTTACTCCATTTTACTTCTGACCTCCTGCATGAGTCCTATAAAGCACTGTGTAAAATAACTGAATCATGCTCTACCACCCCACCCACCTGTTGAAACTACTCCAATACCATCATCAACATCATAATCTGAGATGTCACTATCAGTGATTCGTTGAGACCCTGTATAATGGTGGGACAAACACACAGCTGCAGATTTTGGAGATTCATCACATGTTAACACAGCACGACTTTCAAAGCGGTCCAGATTTCCAGGCTCTTATACAGCATGCCCATGAGGACAGTGTGCTGTTACTGTATGCAAAGTGTCTCTTGCATCATAACCCATATACTGACATAGAATAATTTTAGAAACTGTGGTTCTGGAATCATTCAGATGGAAAGGCTCATCTGTGTTTCTCCATTTGCTGGATGTGTTAACACCTTCCATATTCAACCTGGACATATTGGCATGATAAAGCAAAACAGACAGAGGAGTTTGGAGCACTTGTGCAGAAAACCTAGAGTAGTGACAGCTGTATGCTGTAAAATTGGAAAGTGACTGATTTACTGTACTGGGGGGGATGTCATGCATCATTTATTTTTAAAAATGTAAATAAATTTAAACGACCTTAACTGAATGTTCATTTTATAGCACAAAAGTCAAAATATGTAGCCACATTCAACTTAAACATAAACAATATCAACAAAATGTCAGTAATAATCTCAGACGATGAAGTATAATCCAATAAATAAAATTTTCAGTGTCATCACCTCTTTCCTCTACACCCAAATATGCCTAATGGAATTTTTTAAGCTTACATTTTTAGTGCAATTGCTGTACATGTACAGTACTTAAAATGCATATGTAGAGTATATTTAATGCACTAAAGGTCCTTTATGATGTTGACAACAGTTCAAAAGGGATGGAGTGGAGCTTGATAAAGTTATTTCATATGTAATTTACACAAATATTCACTTCTGGAGGGGGCAATGCCTTGTGCATTTGAGAATTAATGCAATGTGTTCACATATTTACCACACCTCTATGCATTTGCTATTGTCTGAAATACAAAACAGTTTTCTATGAGTCACTTTGAATTACCCATGCCCTAAATTCTGATAATCACCAAATAGCTTAAAATTTGCTTGTTCTTGTTGCTCTCGTGACTGAGAATGTGCAGGGCTAATTTCCCATGATCAAATGAAATGTAAGGGATTTTGAATCATGATAACCTACCTTGTGTTTCTTTTATTTTGCCTGCGGCTGCCTGTTGTAATTTAAAATCAACAAGACCCTTTAAAAATAAAAACAACCATAAAAACTTACTTTGGAGTTTTTTGCATGGGCTTTCCCCGTGGATATGTCTCCGTGGCATGTAAGGTGATGGCTGTGGCAGAGGTAGTGAAGATACATCATGCGTCTGGAGTTTGTACCAGTGTGGCTCATCATCCAACAGAGCTGTTTCCAGCTCTATTAGAATCTAAATATAAAGATGAAATAACACCTCTATTACTTGGGAAAGAAACTTTAATAGTGTTATATTACAGGGAAGTTTGCAGTAGCAGTGTTTTTTTGGAAAATCCTTAGCACGGAACAAAACCTATATTTAAAACCATGGTCACACAAATATTTTAGTCCTATTCTTGTACGAAGATGAAATTGTTGGATGAAGATTTCGAGCAGAATAGAATTGCCACATCTGAAACATTGGTTTACTTGTTAAAACGTACCTCTCCCAGAAATTCACTTGCTTCCTCTTGTACTCTTGGTTGGTCCCATACGGTGATCTCCAGCATTCGCTCTCTGAAGTCCCTTCGATGTACATGGGAATACAGAAAGGTTTGGTTCCACTTCGGCTCCAGGCTCTTCTTGACTGTTTTAGTCCTCCGTTTACTCTTGTCACTGAATATTACAATAAAATTCACATTTAAAGGTTATCTCTCTTATTCTGTCTACGGCAGGGTGTACACTGCCATCTACTGTGGTTTAAAATAACTGATTACTGTATTGCTGTTGCATCTTGGAATGGGAAAAATTGCGTTCATGTAATAGATGATCAGTAAAGTGTAATACAGTATACAGAAAAAATAAAAACATTATGTTAGATTAATTACCCACAACATTAAAGAATGAAACGCTAATCTTTACATATATTATTTTTTGTTTAATGATTTATAATTATGATTTGTTGACCAATCTGAGTTGCTTTGCACTCAGCAATATGTTTCTGTTTACTCTAAGTTCTTGTGAATCACCTCCTCATGAAGAGCTGATGACAATACTCAGCCATTTTATCTGCACATGCTAGCGTGTGTTCTGATCTAATTCTGGGTTTTATGTTTAACCTGTTTTGGTATTGCAAATTACATTAATTATTTCCTGAGGTGCAGTATCTTAAAAACAATACAGATTTTAATACAAATTTAAATGCACAATCGTAAAACGTTTACGGATGAAGAAAGTAAATTGTCACAAACATCAGCAAAGAAAAAACAAAAATACTATTTTAGCTCTGATTGAAATATTCACTTTTAGAAAATGGTTATATGTTGGGTATACATTATTTGCAATTCACCAAAATGAGACATTACTGGAAGGGGGTAAGTATTTTGAAAGGCACTGTTAATCACCCTTTAATATATAATTGTAGAATTTGTGGGATACTTTGGAATGTTACTGGTTACTGTATCTCCTGTTGTTTTTCTTCAAAAAATTTTTACAGACAGGGAGTACTGCATACCCTCTGTCCGGAAGAAAATACATTTTGACGTATGGGTTCCTTGGTCGCCCATCACTTCTTGCTGGGAGGCCAGTTGCTTGAAGTACATTAACTATTAGCTGGTGTCCCACTTTATCATACCACAACTTTACCTGTAAAATATTGATTTTCAATTACTGTTATACTAAGAAGAAACAACACTAGCAGGCTAACAGGTCTAAAAAAAACAGGACATACAAAATTTAGAATCAGTTACAAGAAAACTAGACGCCATTCATGCTAGCACCTGAGTAGACAAAGCTCCATGAAGCTGAACAGTACACACCACTCTCTTGATTTTCTGACCTGCATGTTAGTCAGCATTTTGGGTTCAGCCCAGATTTCCTCTTAAAGTGACCACAAACTAAACCCAAAAGGCTGGTGAATTTCCTAGAGAAGAAGACAACCTCCAGAATGCCCAACCAAGAAACAGAAACTCCACAAGTCAATTTATGCATGGTGATATTTTCACAATATTATTAATAAATGTCTAATCTATACACATATTGTATAACATGACTGAACTTTCCATCCTCATCATTCTATTCTTATTGTAGTTTTACAGGGCAAGAACACAAAGCAGAACACCAGACACCAAGAACACAAAACTGAAGTTCTCCACTTGCTCATTAGTGGAGTGAGGGCTGGTTCTTCTACAACGCATGCTACTGATTTTACCCATAAGGCTGTTACAACATTCTGTTTCAAAGTTTGTTTTATCTTCAAGAAGTATTTAAAGTAAAATCAACATTTGAACATTTCTGAAGTCCCAGTGTGCACTGTATGAAGTTATATTAAAAAAAAACTAGAAATTTAAACAATTTGCTGTTGAAGAGAAGATCTACATGCCAACATATATTAAAGGAACAAGTAATAGGTTTATTCCATGCTGAAAAAAAGAAGAGAGAAAAAACACAACGATTCGGCCGTGGAGCCTTCTTCCCACACCTGAAGAAGGCTCCACGGCCGAAATGTTGTGTTTTTTCCCTCTTCTTTTTTTCAGCATGGAATAAACCTATTACTTGTTCCTTTGCAGCCTACGCATGCTGACGCAGCTACCCACCTGAACATAAATATCTGTTTTGAGTTCACCACTCTGTTCATTTTAATGCTTGATGTTTTCTTTTTTCCAAAGAAGAGCTGCACAGGTCTCAATCTTATTTTTATTCAGAGTCAGTCTGTTTACAAGTGGGGTTACATTGCAGGAGACGCTGAGAGATGGCTAATGTACTGTACATCTTAATAAATATATAGTACATATAGCATTGCATACTTACAGAAAGCTGTCCTGGTAGAACCTGAGGAGCATCTCTGAGAGTACCTGGACTCGTTGGGGATATAACTGAAATTGAAGGTCTTTCCATTTTCTGGGACTCAAAAGAACTCGAACCTGTATGTTCAAAGAACAAGGACATTTAATGTACACTGAGCATCAAAATTAGATTAATATATTTCTTATTTCTGCATTTATGTTTTTAGGAAAAAAGTGTAGAGAGCCAAAGAGACTCCTATGTATCAGGCAGTCATGACATTCAATATAATGTTTATTCACATTTGGCTTTGTAAAAACATATGTGAATAAACAGTGATGAGTTTGTTTTTTATGCTCAGTATACTGTATCTGAATGCTTGAATGAGTGATGGTTAACCATTCATGTTGGTGTGTCCACCAACTTATATGATTTGGCTTGACAAAACCAAATTATCCCAAAAATAATTCTGAGAGAAAAAAAAAGAATCATAAGGGAGAATTTTTTACAACATACTGTATACTGGAACCTAGAATTCAAATTATAAGTGTGCAGTTGAAAATAATGTCCCTTAATAATTTTTGCTGCTTGATACATGAAAGTGTCATTGCTATTTGTAATCCACAGAGTTATGAACAATAACGTAAAAGGACATGGACATTGATATTACTGTCAACTTGTTGTAGAGGCTAGAAATATAGATTTATTTAAATTGTACATAAACAATACAGACAACATGCTCCTATGACACTGCCCCAGAAAATCACTTATAAAGTATGAGTGCAAAGCAAGGAAATATTTCACAAAACCTACTGGATTCTAGTGGAGGATGTGAAGTTTCTGGAATTCTTGGGATATCTCTAAAAATAAAAACAAATAAATCATAATACCATCAAAATATGTATCCACAATATCGATCATTGAAACTCAAGAGCTCGAGGCAGGACATTTTAAACATGTAAAGGTAAGCTTATTTCTTTTAATAATGAATTACTAATTATTTAAAATAATTTATGGAATAAAATATTTGTATATTATGTTTAACAGGAACATCCACAAAAATGGGATTAAAACATCTATCATCACATTTGTATACACTGAGATTATTAAATGCATTGATTTTCCAGATCAATGCATTATCACATGTGGCACTTTTCTCATTTTCTGGAAAAGACAAATTCTCATGGAAGAAAACATAATGTAGAGTTTCAATACACTGGGAAGTGACTTATAACGTGACTCAATCAAAAAGTCACATTTGGAGCCAAACACTTGCACAAACACTTTAGAAGAGTCACTGGACATCCAAGAATGGTCACTAAGGAAGAGCAGAGACTTGGATTTGCATTTAGCAAACCCACATTTCTTACTGTGCACACAACATTGTGACAGGTGGGGTACAGTTTGAAGGAATAAACAGTAAAGTCAAGCAATAGGAACATATCAGCCTGTTTCAGAACAAAAGGGATAAAAACAGTTTACAGTGTATCCTTTCCAAAGTTGTAAAGTACAGTGGTTTAATTGTAATCAGACTGGAAAGGGAAAGGATAAGGTTCATGGAAGACCACAGATACTGTATATACAGTACTTGTTACTTACTGGTATGCTTTATACACCTTTCTCAAGAAGTTTTTGGAAAGAAATCGATGAATACATCTTATAACGAAAGAGGAAGACAAATCAGAGGTGAGAAAAAATGTTAAGAGATCAAATGAGTAACCAAAGCTCGGAAGGAAGCAAGGAAGAAAACACAGAAAACAGCAGGGATGCTGTGAAGTACAGAAAAACAGGGGGGGAAGGGCATGGAACTCAACTTAAAGAAAAGGAAATGCACAAAAGACAGTTGAGAAACCCTTTATGAACCAATCAAGAGGCAAAAGGGTCTTTCACATAGCCTGACATATTTTGTCATGAAAATAATTTGAATCAATTAGGGTAAGAAAACAGGGGATATGCCTATATTACACCATTCTATAGCAAGCCCAGAATGTTTTTTTTTCCAAGCACCAGTGTGAATTCATCATCATACAATCAATATTAAAAAATGGACACAAGACATTCTTTATAATCCTCACTCTACTATTTTAAGAAAAAAAAATGCCCTTTTACTTTATTTCTTTGAAATAAGGTTCATTTTAGGTTTTTTTATTTTCTTAAAGCAGCTGCTGTTGGTAAATGAATACCACCATTTTTTAAATATTTTTTTTTAATTACAATAAATCTGTCATCTCATGAAATACCACTCACTGTGTACTAAATTGTCTTGACCTAATTTTTTCTAAATTCACCACAGCAACATTTCTCTGTGGACAGCATAATTCATGCTTGCTTTTCCATCCAGTATAAATATTTTCAAATGCCATGGACACATTGCATGTTGAACAGACTTTAACATTTATACCAGATCTGTGAGAGATCAGAAGCAGTGCTTGGATGTTTAAAAGGCAATGCTAAGATGAAAGCCCCAGTTTTCCCCAGAAAGGCAGCATTTCCGTGGCTATTGCTACAGCTCTGCCATCTGTTAGTTGCAATCTCAAACTGCGCATTAACACAGCTGATTAGCTTTTTTGGCAAACGCAAGCAACTTCATCACATCACCTCATGGTACTGTGAAGACCTGCATCATTGTCCCATCAGTGATGGCCAGTTGAAAAGTGTGATGAGATCAGTAATCAATAATAAACACTCGATTATTACTGCTGTAGTGTGCATTACTGAAGAAATAAAGTAGCGGCCATTTTATACAATTGTTGTGAGTTGGGAGTTGCACCTCTTTTGTTAGAGGCAAAAGCATTTTATCCTTCAAAAGGTGCCTCCCCAGTTTCACAGCATAGAACAACTGCTTTCAGTAACTTCTTAGATGAAGAGTTGGGTTGAGTTTTTTTGGTTGAGATTAGTTTTAGGGTAAGAGATGTGGGAGTTCAGATGGGGCAACTGACAAAATGGCTGTTTTTAAATATGCTAACACAGAAAGTTACAGAGATATTCATATGAAAATGCTAGAGCTGAAAAATGCACATTACAACCATAGCCGGAATACAGGCACAACTATCAACAGATAACTTCGCAGAAACAATGCCACTGGAACATGATTGACAGATTCAGCCACTTGGTTAAACACTCTATTGATAAATGTCGAATTCGGGCGCCATATCTTTAGAGCTTTATCTACCATTGTAGTGCCACTGCAGTAACTATGTTGTTATTAGTAATCTCTCTAATCTTTTGAAAGTACAGCTTTTTGAGACTTTTTTTGTCCTTGACTTCAAATATGCAGTGCATGTATTATATGAAACCTGAACTAGCAAAGAAGTTGGTGGTTGAGGATATCAAAACCTCAATATTCAACAATGAAATGAAAACAAGCAAGGAACAACTGGTCCTACAGGTACTGTATAAGACAATGGAGTTATTTTAAACTTACCCAATTGGTCTTGAAACTACGATTTCAACTTGGAGTTCTGATTTGGATTCCAAAATGATATTGTAAACCTCCTTTTTTGTAGCTCCAGGTAATGATTTTCCATTCCATTGCAACACCTCATCACCTTTCAACACAAAAGCCCATTTAAATGCTGTTTAGTTTTACAGAACAACAACATGGAATTGTTGTAGACAAGTGATGACAGAAAGACCAGGTAATGGGGAACATTCAGTTAGCATTCATCTAATGTCATTTTTGACAAACCGAACACCTAAAACATTATCACTGGTTTAAATGTCTGTTGTCTCTGTGTAAATGCATAACCATTACAGTAAGCTTATTCAAACTTAAAAATTGAAAAGAGGAGATCACAAAATAAGCTCAACAAACTAATACAGTATCCTTAATTTTTTATCACCATGGCAAATACTTTTTAGTTATAAGGAAATATCACATTTAATTTAAGTTTTAATTACATTCCTCTAAAGCATATATTTATACAAAATACAGCACATATTTCTTGATACACAATAGACATTCGGTCTTATAATATAATATTCTTAGTTGCACACCTGCTTTTAAATGTCCAACAGCATCAGCTAAGCTTCCTTTCTTTACTTTTGTGATGAAGGCACCAAGTCTTCCTGTTTCTGTAATCTTTCCTCCAACAACCTGGATTGATCAAATATTCTAGTCAGTACAGCAATAGAAAATAAAAAATAAGCCACCATCACGAAAGTTTATAAGATACCATCCTGCTGAACACTCTTATGTACAGTACCATTATTTTTAAATCTGCATGTCAGAGCCCTAGCAGAGACTAGTTTTTAACTACACTTCTGTGTCACAATGCAGTCCCTAATTGTCCTACATTGTCCCACAATTGTCCCACTTGCACTGCGATCCCAATCTCACCCACAAAAAAATAAACTTAGAACTCACAATTGCAGGATCTAAGAGTGTGAGTTTCCTCCAAGCTTAGAAAAAATGTTAATATGTGATATATATTGTATAATCTGAATTCGTGCTGATATTGCCACTTTAAGAATAAAACAAATCTTGTTTAAATCAGGTAATAAATTAATATAATAGAACTTATTAATATATTACCCTTGCTTAAATTTAATGCTATATTTGTTTTTGCCCATCCAATCCTGCCCACAACAAATTTCCATCTGATCCTAATCCTGCTACAGAGTTGTGCTATACACTTCATGCAAATACCTGTAATTCAAAATGTGGGAAACTGTAGATTAGTTGCATACTGTTTAATGCTACTTACTGTATAACATGCTCTGTTGTAACATAGTTTGCTTTATAGGACTTTGAAATTATGTTTGCTTTAAGAAAACACTATATTATTAATTTATTTAGCTGATGCTTTTATCCAAAACAAACTTGAACCCAAAATCTTCCAGTTATGATTAAACAGCCCTAGTTGCTGCATCATACTCTAGAAATTGATAATTTAATTGATCTCATATCAAGCTTTTTGGGTCTAGATACAGTTTGATGGTAAAACATGGAATAAATATCACTTTTTGCCTTTGCTTTTGGCAGTGAATAACAGGAAATGTGAATCACTCATCTAGGTTTACAGGTAAATACACCTACATCTAAACTGACTTTTATTGGAGGAGTAACTACATGAGTCAGACCAAGAAACTCATTGGCTTCTGTGTTAACAGTGTACATTCATTAGAAAAGCTTTTCCCACTAATTTGAAATCAATTACTCTAAATGAGGACTGAATGAGAACAGAATTCATTATTAGTGAACTAGTATCAGTGCAATGAAACTAAAGGATAATTAGCATACTTACTTTTAACCCTAGTAATGAACCTGATTCTTTTGGCATAGTTGTTCTCTTGCTTAAAATAATGCGTCCAATTAAATGATCACCTTCTTTGGATGGCTGCCATGTAACAGGGTGCTGTAAATAAGAAGACATTGATTTAATCCTATTACAACAAGCAAGTTCCATCATACACTCAGGATATCAAGTTCACAAATATCCTTTCCCAGCTAAACAACGGCATTAATTATAGACCTGTGATTATCTTGACAAGTCTAATTTGCTCAGGTCTTTACTTTTACAGTGCTATTGTTTAATGTGCTGTACTCACAGAGTCTGATTGTGAACACAACAGAAAATATAAAGTTTCAGTATGCTTGAAGTAGTAAATGCCAGGAGTCCATGCTTGATCAATTAGAAATTATTATCAGGTATTATTCTACAAGTACTTCATCTATCAGGAGATCTTTATATGGCACTTTCTAGTACCTGTCATTTATCATGTATTAATTAATTCCTGACAATATACTCTTGTGATGCAGTGCAATATGAGATATAAGAGAGTAACGATTTAAAGTTATTTACGTATCTATTGAAACTCTGAAACTTCAATTCTTTGTCAAACATTCCATAAAGTGCAGATCAAATCACTAATTTTCACATTACCTTAAAAAAATAAGTTAAAATACATAAAAAAAACAAATTCCTAATACAAGAAATTGTATACAGTATGTCCAATAAAGTGATCTTATCAATGTACGTTCATATGAAAAAGCAAATGCTCAAGAGAGGTTTTCCTTTTGTAACATCAAGTTTTCTTGATCATTTTAACTGTTGAGGTTATGAGGCTGTCAAAAAACAAATCAGCTCCCACAAACCTTTAAAATTCACTTTAAAACCTCCAGATTGTTTATTCATTAATAAGCAGGTGTCTTACCGAACTAATTGGGGAAGTCTCACTTACATGCCAGATGGCAGGATCCAGAGGAAAGCAATCCCAGTCACCTGCAAACAAATGTGAGAAACTAAGCAACAGTGTTGGAATGCATGCTCAAGACAAGGATTAGGGCAAGCGTACACAGTGCAGATTTTCTCCATTGCTTATTTATACAACAGAGACAAGTCTGGATTCAGTTTAAACAACATTGTTTATAGAAAAAGTGCAAGGTTTATTGAACATTTAAAAATAAGGTGACAGTGCATTACAAAGCGACATGCAGATCATGCTTACAGTTCTTTGAATTGGAAAGAAATTACTAATTTAATTTTCCTTCTTATGTTTGTTTAAAAAGTTTGTGGAAGCAAACTTTAATACAAAGGAAGCAAACAGAAATCTCACACCCTTCCACAGACTTCTAATAGTGCAGGGAGCTCACATTAAAGAGAATGTGGGCTTTTGAAGATATTTGTAAGTACTGTACAGTATTTCAGACCTTTTATTATGCCATGCAAGCATATATATATTAATGTTTTGTGTCAGATGCATCCAATTTAAATGTATTGTCTGGGATACATGTCTAATGATGTACAGTACAGTATAAAACAGACAAATGGCGAAAGTTCTCTTTCAACTGCAAGATGAGGTAACAAGGCAGTTCAGCCAGCAAGAGGAAGTGACTATTAAGATGTTGTTTTTACAACAGTTGTTTATTACATGCTATAAATAGACCTGACAGAGAAAGAGGCAGAGAACTTTTTCACTCAACCTGCCATATCTTGATCTCGGATGAAATAAAGACCTGATGATCACTTCACCTCTGTAGCCTGGACTGTTTGTTTCCCAGTCTCCTGAAGAGGGTTCACTTCACCTCTCTGCCTTCAGCTGTCTTGATCCCCAGCAAGGCAGACTGGCCCTCTCCTCAGTGCTATACTTAAAAGGTAAATAATGGGCCTTACCTTGCTGAGGATCCCACTACTAACACCAACTGAAGGCAGACTGTTACTTGTAACTTGTCCGTTACTTAAAGTTCATTAGCTAATCAATATTGATCTGCTGTCTGATCATCTTATTTTCTCAAATGATGTATAGCTTGGTGATCAGACAATTTGTTCCTGTCAGCTGTTTACATTTTATTTTTATCAAATGTCAAAAAAACATTTTTATCAAAATTCATTGGATATAAACAATTTAAGTAGTTTATAGGTTAATAATTACACGATAACTGTACAAAAGATACAAAAGATAAAAGCCAAGTTAATAATGCTGTGATTACAAATATGTTATACAAAATACAAAATCCAATCTTTCAAAGCAAAACAAAATTAACTTATTGACAGTAGTCTAAACACGTGTATTCACCTAGTTACTGGTATCTTTTCTGTCTACTTCTGTATTAGAAAGAAGTTAAATAAAAAGATGGAATGGAATGTATTATTAGGTCATGGCCAGTTTCTGACAACCTCTCATTGTAGTGCTACTGCCAAACATAGGCAGATGGAAAATGTCATTGCTAAATCCCTGCATACAAAGATTCAAACACTAGTACCACACACATCTGACTAAGCCCACTATTAGGGAATAGAACCCAACTAATTAGCAATTTATTGATTATTTTCTCGGTTACATTACCACAACATCAGTAACTTCTATATAAATTATTACCCTGACCCTTCCACTTTGACTCTCATTAGTATACTGCCACAGATTGAGAAGGGTGGTTTGTAACTTTCTTTTTTCAGTCCTGCCAACCCGGAATAAGATTATCCACACAAAAATGAAAAAGAAGAAGGAAAAGCTATCATGGAAAAATTATAAATTAAAAAAACACTAAGGGTGTTTTATATAATGAAGTTTCATTGCTGACAGGCATCGACAGTATATGATATGGTTCCTGGTGCAGTTGCTGTTTTGAGATTCCACACTGATGCTACAGTATACTGTAATTTATGGATTCAAAGGACCATAGTTCCCAAATGTGTAATAATTATTCCAAAAAAGATCAAACACAGCAAATAGAACTAAGGGTTTTTATAGGAGTGCTTTGTATAAAATACTATAGGTGAATGTTAACCAATTTTTCTGCAAGTAAAACATGACACAATTGAGCTTAAATATTTGTACTCCTGTCACTGATGATGTACCCTGTAAACATTTTTAATAAAAGTTCCATTGGTGTTTTTTGGAGCTTGAATCTGCAGATGACTCCTTTTTAGTAAAGTTGCCATATCACTTTGGTCAAATATGTCCAGGAGTCAACCAGCGAAGAACAGTCACAAAGGATAAAATTTATTTACTGGATTGATCTGCAACATTCTTAGCAACACTAACATACTGTTACACAATACAGTAAAATCCCACCCACGGTAGTCTTTTGAAATAGTTTTCAAACAGAACTAAAAAAGGCAATGGATTTGATCAGTATGTCAGACTGAAGGAAGACAGCACATTGTTGCAGTCTCTCCCTCTTTGTCTTTTCAATATTTTCAAGTGAACTGATAATCTGACTTTATGCATGATAGACAAAGGAGTTTAAAAATCACAATTATTCTTAAAAGCTTTGAGGCTTACTTACAAAATTCTAAAACCTAAGCTTAAATGAACATACAGAACATTTCTGAAGAAAATCCCTGCTTATACTGTAGTTCCAAAGAGCTATATTATAGATTTTCTACCCTATTTGTGAAGTGTGATGCTCCAAAAAAAGTCTCCCTAAACAGAAATGTAATCACCGAATGTGTACTGACCACAAGAAAAGTAACTCAATTAGGAATTTAAATTCAAATGCCTAATTCATTTGAATTTCATTAAAGCCTGCAGTCGTAAATCTACTGATTCTGTTTATTCCAGTTATAAGAATGTTAATCCCTGAACTTCAATGATTGTAATCACAGATGTAGCTAATAAAATAACAAGAAGGATAAAAGTATCAAAACACTTACTATGTTTCATAAACTCTCCCCTAAAGCAGAATCCATTTTGATTTTTAATCATGCATCTACAATAGAAATGTAGTATTGAGGTAGGGTGATTCTTACAGCACACTAGCATACTGTACTTCAGTAACACAATATTATTGTTGTATTATATTTGTAATATTATTGTATTTCAATAAGCAATTAAAAGGGGAAAATGTCGAAAAACCTTCCCTGTTACCTCTGTACACACAAGAAATATTTGAAACATACTGCAAAATGTTACACAGAGAACCCATTATAACAATGAGAATGAAAATTCTGGAATGTACTAACCACTGTGTTGTTCTCAAGGAAAACAACCCAACTGTCTTCCACCAAAGACAGCCGCTGAAAACACCAGACACAACAGGGTACTTTAACCATCTTTCTTTTTTCCACATTCTAGCTGGGTCTCCAAGAACAAATGGACCTCATATCATCTCTATTACAAGTCATAAAGCTTAACTGAAACTTGCAATGTCCCATTGCTGTCTTCGTCAACGTAGAAAAGACAACAGTCAAGATTCTTTCCCATGCGGTGCATTCTTTGCTGTTCCGAGAGTTAGAACTACCAAGAAATCTCGTCGTTAAGGCAAACACAAGCTATACTTATCCAACTTCCAGTTCAAGCACACACAATTAACACACACACATTTCACAGCAGCAGCCAAGCAACTTCAAAGCACATCTGATTTACCTGTCCCTGAGTGCAAAGTATTAAGCAAAAACAGAAAAACCTTGCAAACATTGCTAACTTGAGACTTCAATTTTTTCCAGGAATAAGGATCTCAAATATATTTACGTAGCTGACAGGAGAAAAAAACCCATTGACTTGTAAAGCGTTACAAACTTCTCTGCCATGAAGACGGACCAGATTCTCCCTATTCTTTCTTTAGTTCCATGGAAAAGTGTCAGCATAATCCTCCGAAAGCACATTAAAAAACAGCCTAGTGTTTTGACACCAGATAACAAGGTAGGAAATGAAACTGTAATCACAAACAAATCTCTGCAGATTACAACAGTCATTGATTAGTGTAGTAATCCGTAGGTTCAATCTGAGTCAACTAGGCTTTCCTTCAGGATCTATGGTAGTACTATATCCATGAGCCCAGCATAGACTATTGTACCTAGCTACATGCAAACTCTCAATTCTCTCAGCAGCTTAAGGGCAAATGAATTCAGTATACTGATGGTGCTGAATGAGGAAAGCACAACCCTTAGGCACCCCTGGAATCAATATCTTTGCAGTAGCTATTATTGCTATTTAATATTGTATTTCCCACTGGAGGAGAAATAAATCACCATTTCCCTTAGAGGTGCAAAAAAGTTCTCTACTCAGGCAAAGTCAGTTTTTGTTGGTTAATTCAAACATTAATGGTCTCATAAAATACGACAGGTGAAATTATTCTTTTTCTTTGTAAATTGTGTTGAAAATAAATATAATACATTGTGTTCTATGTTGTCTTTTTAATCTTAATAATTGCACTTCTTTAAACACAAAATTGTAAAATTAAAATGCTTTAAAAGGTAATGAATTCACAGCTCTCAAAGTTTTGCAAATTCTAAATGAGACACACTATAACGACACACATTAGTTAATTTAACAATATACAGTATAACCATCAGTACCATTTTAAAAAATACCTGCATCAACAAAACATATACTAATTAAATTATATTTTTATACCCTTTAGTGCTCCATGCTTTGTAATAGAAATTAATCATTTACAGTTAAACAATATTATAGTGTATTTTCAATAATTATTTAGATAATGACCTTATTATATAAAGCTTACCTACTTTCATAAAATGAAGTTCAATTGGTTTCCACTTTCCAGAACTTTCCTGTTCTGAATAAATCTACGTAATGGCAGTAGAGCTTCTTTCCAACCGTAGGCAAATATTTTACAAAGTCAAATAGCTGCTCTTCTGCTTGACGTACTACAGTACTATTATTTACATTTTACGTCCAGCATGCTTAAATAAATTGACCTTTTAAGTCCGTCTTCTTTTCTTGTGTGAGTCAACTAAGTAATATGTCAAAGTGACTGTGTTCTCTTCGGTAAAGTTCTTTAAAATACAGGACAGCTACTGTTCCTCAATAGGTACTGTATATTAATCATTTTCATGTGCCAAGACATCTTTTAAATGAAACAACAATGTTGTAAAAGAGACTAGACAGAGCATGTAAGCGAATTTGTAAATAATAAAAGAAATGTCTTCAGGTAAGTAAAATAAACACAGAACACCCATTATATGACAAACACAACTATACAGTAAATATAACATGATTTCTGAATCACTGAAAATAAACAGTCTTTGTCTTTTTGAATTAATCCTTAAAGATCTTACCCAGATACCCATTTCCTTTTTTGTTTATATGGCCCATTTTGCTTGTGTTATCTTTTTTATAAATGCAATCTTTAAGCAATTCAAAGCTGAAAATAAAGAAGTTTATTGCCAAAGGTGTTTTAAAATTTGACATGGAACAGAAAGAACATGACCTTTTAAACCTCCATTTAGCCTTCTGAAGTAGCATGAGCTATGGTGAGCTACTGTACATGACCTAAACTTTCTGTTCCAAGAAAAAACGGTATCTCATTTACAGTATATGTATATTATATGAATCACCTAAACTCTATTACAGTACCTGCCAGAAAAAGCAAAGCAGGGTGTGCATACTGTATATTGTAAATGAAGAAAAGGAGGAGCAAATTATGATTTTAAACTTCATGGGAGGTGAATGGGGGAGTGAAAACATTTCACTCCTTAAAATAAAGTTTGAATGCATTTGAATGCATTTTCTCAAAGTCTTGGACCGGTTCATGGATCATTTGTTCTGCAGCCTGATAACACTACAGTACATACTGTATGTGGCCTGATAAAACTACATGGTGTTAATAACACTACAGTGATTATTTGCAACACCCCGACCCTGAAAACATTATTAAGCTGAACATTAATCTACATGGGAACATGGAAAGGTTTATTACATACTGAAAAGAGAAGAAAAGACACACAGCGATAGTACTGTGGCTAAGGATCTGTGCCTGTGGCTGGAAGGTTGCTGGTTCAAATCCTGTGGCTGGCAGAGGAATCCTACTCCATTGGGTCCATGAGCAAGGCCCTTAACCCTAGCTGCTCCAGGGGTGCTGTACAATAGCTGACCCAGCGCTCTCTCCCTGTCTGTGTGTCTATGTGTCTCAGGCCATCAAGCTGGGGTATGTGAAAAGACAAATTCCTAATGCAAGACATTGAAAATGGCCAATAAAATGATCTTATATATGCTTTCTGGATCTTTTCACTTATTTTTTAACAATCACTATTAACAATAAAAAGTGTTCCTGTGCCTTTTTTATCATAAATATACAAGCTTTAGATTTAATGTGTCTCAAACATACTGTACAGTATAAAATTAGCCAAAGCACACAAAACACAAGAAGCACCTATTATACTGTAAGTAACTGACCAATCATTGTAGGGCACCACTAATATTCATGAATTTAAAATCTATTTTATTTTTACCTTGTTTTATTATTTTGGCATTTCCCCATCGTTGCGAGAAACTCTGGCATTTTTAATGTTATAGACAACATATACTATATGTGTTTCTGTGTTTGGAAAATGAAAGCTACAGTAAGCCATGTAAAAAGCTTTTTAGAAATTTTGTAATTTTTTAAATGTTTGTTTAAATGTTTCAAAGTTTTTAAATTAAATATGTAATGTAAAGGTTTACATTTTAAAAACTTTTGTAATTTATAAAACTTGTAATTCTTGACTTGAGAGAATACTTAATAAAGTTAGAAATAAGGCACTTACATAAGTGATAATTCATAATAAACTTTGTTTGCCATTCCAGAATTCAACCTTGTTCATCATACAGTACATATCACCTGTGAAGCTCATACAGTTTGAAGACTTGCTGGGCTTATATATAAAACAGCTGCTGGAGTAGAGCAGGGTTAAATTTAATAACATGAATCCTATGATAACATTACATTTATTGGTATTTGTACTTTTTAAAATAAAATTGCACATTGCCAGTTAGCCACTAGTGTAATTAATTTTTTTTCCACATTTTCCATATTTAGTAATTAATGCCAACCCAATTTTTTCTGTTTCGTTTACTTGTTTAGCTGCCATAGAAGTAAATGTTTAACATTCATGGTTATTATTTCATTGTAGTCTCTAAACTGACAAACAGATATTCAAACACAACTACATTAGCAAGTACTTCCAAAGATTCTTCTTGCAGTTTATGTACTGTATGTACAGTAGTGATGTTAATATTGCCTCTTATGGTATGTGGGGCAGGATAGGTAAGCATACACGTGCAGACTAGATAGAAACATTTTAAATTAGTTGAAATGATGGTAAAATTTGGGAAACATAGAGTATATTTCTACCAAAAGTACAAAGGAGCATATGACTATTGTTGACTGATCCCTCTGAAAAGCATCCCCTTAAATGTACTTTCCAGAATGAAATCATAATTACTGTGCACCAGAACAGCCTGCAATTGCAAAGTTCAAAATAGCTTTCATCCACACTGTGTTTAAGTGCATTACTGGCTTATATAAAGCAGAGTAGTATCATTTTTGCACTGTTTGCTGATTACAGTGGATTTTATGGCTCCTGTTAAATACGTATTCCCAAAGTAGATATGGCTCTACTTTATATATTTACATATGGATTACATATCCATATCCTAAGAGATGTCTGCATCATCCAAAGCTTCAATTATATGAAGCACATATCAGAAATATTAAAGTCTCCTTTCCAAATACTGAACTGCATTCATTGGAGCTTTCATCCAATACTACGGATTTATCATTTAAAAAGGCCATTAAATATCACAAAAAGGAATATTAAAGAAAACCTTACCTTTGCAATTTTAGACATTGAAACTCTGACCCTAACTACTGTAAATTCAACACCACACCGCTGGTTTGCCCTCAAAATGCCATGAAGTCAATTCATAGTAATAATAGATGTGCCAGTTGAAACCTAAATAAAAGGAAATCCTTACCTTTTTCACTGACACTTTCACTCTCAATCTCAACGTCTTCACAACTTGTGTACTCTGGAGTAGAACCTCCTTCCTCTTCGGAACTGCTCACAGACATTTGTCGTTTGTTGCCTCCTCGTTTTGTTTTGTAGGGTTTGGGAGGGGGAGGCCTTAGAGACTCCGACTGATCAGAACTGAGTGAGTCATTTCTCAGCATGGTCTCCATCTTTTCCCGCTTGGTCTTGCGGATAATAGCCGCAGAACTGGGGTCTAGATGACATTGCTTTTTGCCCCAGTCTTGGTCCTTGGATTCTAATTGTGAAGCAGGAACTAGACTATGCCGCGCAGTGGGTGGGCTATGATTTGCCATCTGCTTGGAAACAGAGATTTGCACATTACCTGTTCTTTCTATTGAATATGACCTGTGGTTTTCCATTGGCGATTTATGTTCTTCTGCCCCAGGAGGCTGCGATCGCCTTCCCAGTCGGTTCTCTAACACTTCTGATCCCTCTGCCTCTGTGTTTGCCAAAGCCACATCGCTATGCCTCCTCTGATGCCGAGCTTTTGAGACTTTTGCGTGGATGAGCATCTCCTGTTCTTCGGGCTGGGGTTTGATGGGATACCTTGCTAAATTAGGGTCACTGCGGTACCGTGTCTGGAACTCCTCTTCTTTCCTTTGCTTCTCCTCCTCAGCTTTTTTTCTCCCCTCATCCATGTCTGGGTAGTCCTGTGACCTGCCCTTCTCCAGTCGCCGACTTTCACGGCGCTCTTTGTGCTCCTTGTCCTCTATCTGCCGTTCGCCGTGCTGAGCAGCAGACTTTGGCACGCGCTTCCGTTCATTTTTCACACCTGCCTTTCCATTCTGCTCAGGAATTGCTGAGGGTTTTTTCCTGGGGTTTGAAGACAAAAGACAACGACAGCTGGAATTAAGCAATACTAGAATGGACTGTATTACAACACGCGGCCTTTTGGTTTTAATTCAATTTATCTAAGGACTACTTAACTGCAATAATTACTTTCTTAACTGAAAAAATGACTTTTTAAAAACTGAAACCTGCTGGTCACAATGCATGAATAGGCCTGTACCACAAAGCTCAATGCTTTCATGAAAAATACAAAAGTTTCCTTTAAAAGACTTTTACAAATAAAACATTCGATCCAGCTTTATGTTCACGTAACTTGAATACTTAGACATTTGCCAAATGGGATCGCTAGAGAAATAAAAAATCCACAGTAGTGCCTCGCATAAATTGAAAAATATCACAGCTAAAGAGGATTTTCATCTGCGGCAAAAATCGTTTTACACAAGCACAAAAAAAATCTCCAAACAAGTACAGTCTTTATCGGCAGGCTAAAAATACTTTGTACAAGAAACATCTAGAGGAATAAAGGAACTGACAAAGCTGTGTAGAGGATTTGTCATTTAATATGAATGGCCTTGATTTCTGAGAAGCTGAGTAGAAGCCAGTACCCTAGAGAGTGATGATTATAACAGCTGTGCTTTGTGATGTGATGTTACTGGAGACCTGGGCAGGACAGGTTTTATAGTTTATTCACCATCTACCCACATTACAAAATGAACATGAACCATATTGCATTGAGGTTGCTACTGGCAGTGCAATGAGCTTGGATGTAACCAATATAATTTAGATTCGACTCCACTGATCCTAAAAAAAGACTATGCAGTCGTAATACTGTATTTAGCAAGCTAGCCATTGTAACGGTTCTTGGGGTTTCCGCCCTTTCTGCTCCCACCCTGCCTGTGCGCGAACCCAGTTCTGTGGCGTCATGCAACAGGGAACTCGCCAGCTGAGCTAAAGGAGACCTCCTTCAGCCTGGGTGGCTGAGATCCCTGTTATACGCAGGGGCATATTCATTAAACCATCTTAAAAAATACATGTCTCTATACTCATTTATCTTTCTTTTGTGAAAAAATATGATTCTGATGCAGCACTGCTGTGTCTTGTTTAGGTGCTATTCTTTTTATTAATGACCTATTCTCTTAAGGCTCCTAGTTTTTTTAGCATCTGCAGTTAATTCCCTTTCAACTCCACCATGTCAAAGGTTCTTCAGTGGGAGGTAAAAATAAAGGCAAATGTTAAGTGTGAGCAGTGAATTATCTCTCACATTCTGTGGTCAAAATTCTATTGAAGGGAAAGTGAAGAAGTAACATGAAGTTGTCTCATTACAGAGTGAATCCCTTACCTGTCTCTTGGGGGTTCACTTCTGGAGCGGGAGGAAGGCATTGCTTGCAGAGCAGAATCTGCTCCCTTGCTCCTTTCAGTAGCAAGAACGGGCTGGGGGGCTTCCTGAGAGCCTGCCGCCGTACTTAAGGGGATTTGGGATCTCGAACGAACTTTCTTTTCTCTGGGAACATCACCACGCATGGCAGTGTCGCTCAGAGCCCCATCCAGACTGGATGCCTGCGAACCTCTTCCAAAAAACCATTCTCCCGACTTTGTCAGAATTTCTTGTTGCTTACGACACAGATTGCAAACCCACATTACCTAATTCCGAAAAAAACAAACAAAGAAAACATGATTAAATGGTCCCTTCTCACAGAAAAGGACAATATTTTGAAAACAAGCATTTTGTTATTAATTGTTTTAAGATCTAATTTAATTATACTGTAGATACGTTTTTTTTATTTCAAACAATGAAGACAGATACTAGAATGAAAATATTTCAAAGACTGTTATCTTCTCAGATTTTGTTTCTGAATATTTAAAGGGTCATTAAAAAAAATAAAGTAAGAAATAAGTATTTTCTTTAATTCTCTGCCAATATCCCTGCATTAATTTTCCCTAAATTAATTTTAAAACTTGAATTCTTCTCTGAAAATTTGATTTTAGATTTCCATAAATCCCTTTCTCCAAAAAGGAGATCATCACCTTTAAAGCTTCAGAAATAACAAATAAAAAGCTTAATACCTGGACTGGTCTTGTTTCAGATTTTAGTGTGTGCCTATAGTTATTTCAGCTTTGATAAAAATAAGAAAGATCAAATCTTCTTTGGTCATCATTTTGTTTTCAAAACGGCAATGCATTACTCTTTTACACTTAATTTTGAGGCACTATTTGAATAGATAAGTTAAAATAACAATTGCAAATCTAAAGCTATATCATTACAAAGAAATTGCTGGGAGGAGACAGGAGAAAATTTGCCAGAAGGCCAGAAGACTTTTGTTTGGGGAGTATACAGCTACAGTAGCTGCCACATTGGAAGGAATCACACAATCTTAAAAGTTCAGACAATTTTAAACACCCAGAGTCTTCTGAGTTTCTTCCACCTTCCCTATTCTAATGAATAGAGACAAAACATTTGAAGAAAGAGACTTAGATTTTCCAGCAAAGGAAAATGTTTTTTTTGTAAAACATTGCATTACTGTAGCAATGAAAATGTTCCAATGCAGTAGCAGGGGTTCTGTCTGAGCTTCCTCCCTAGATAGGTGTGGAACTGTGCCAGAAGGCTGCCAGCACTCAGAAAGTCAAGAAAAAATGGCCACTAAGGAATTGGTGGCATTATTTTTCAATGTGATCTTTATTTCTGTCAGTATTTTTCATTACTGTAATAGAATCACTAATGGTTCATTTGCCAGAAGCCTGAGAGTTTCCAAAAATACCCTTTTTATCTATTTTTTTTCTTCTCAAAGATTACTTTTGATTAAAAATGAAAACCCATGAGGAGAAAAAAGGAGAATAAGACTACATCACTGTTTCTATATTTAGTAGAGCAGTCTATCATCACATTTGCAGCCTTAACTAATTTTCATACTTCTGTACCAATCTTACAGCAGTGCAAGTGCTCTCAAGCCAACTGATACATCTTATTGCACTTGCTATACTAGTGAAAGCATTTGATCCTAACTTTATGTGTTTTGGCATCATAAAATTATAATATGTCAATTTGTAAAATATGTGTTAGAATAATCTAGTTAAAAAAAACTAAAGGACTAATTAAACAGGACTTTTTAAAAACTAGGTCAACCCATATGTAAACAGGATAAGCTGAAAAATATTTTTAGGATGAATGTGTTTCATAGTAGAAAAGAGACCTTTTCGTTCTAATTTAGTTAGAATCAATTAAGGAAGGTCATAACTACTATCCCATGTTTGGAATTGGTCGTGGCACAGATTTTAAAACCCTTGTCCATAGGAAAAGTCCTTCAGGATCATGCATTAATGTCAACATTAATAGTAACAGCGTGGAGTAGTGCTTTGGGCTTGAGAGATGTTGGTTGTGCGTCTGTATTTCAGCTGGAATATTGCTCCTCACCTTTGGACAAGGAACCTTAAATAGGTCTCAAGATTGACATTGTCAACGGCTATTTGTTCTTAACTGACTTATCTAGTAAGATAAAGAACTCCTTCATGTCATAGCAGCCATATTACTCAGCAGTTGTGACCCTGGGCAGTACCTGGATAGGAGACCTCCTGGTAAAAACTAAGGTTGCTGCTGGAAGAGGTGTTAGTGGGGCCAGCAGAGGGCGCTCACCATGCAGTCCATGTGGGTCCTAATGCCCCAGTATAGTGATGGGGACACTATACTGTAAACAGGCGCCGTCCTTTGGATGAGACGTAAAACTGAGTTCCATTTCTCGAAAACAGAAGGGGGTGTAACCCCGGCGTCCTGGCCACATTTCCCAATGGCCCTTACCGATCATGGCCCCCTAAAAATCCCCATCTATGAATTGGCTTCATTACTCTGCTCTGTGTGGTGTGTGGTGAGCGTTCTGGCGCACTATGGCTGCTGTCGTATCATCCAGGTGGATGCTGTACATTGGTGGTGGTGGAGGGGATCCCCATTACCTGTAAAGCGCTTTGCGTGGAGTGTCCAGAAAAGCGCTATAAGTGTAAACAATATTATTATTATTATTATTATTATTATTATTATTATTTCAACAATAGGCCGTTTCTATAGTACATGGTTCCAGTTTCCATATTGGCTGTGAATTTCCTGCTCAGAGGGGCCAGTGCCACCAGGCCCAGCCTTGTTCGGACGCTAATATGAAAACAGGCAGAGTTGATCTGTATCAGCTGTGCTCTTATTGTATATTGCACTCTTAAATATTGATACAGTTTGTTTTTTTTAAATACAGAATACAAAGCAAGATCCTCTGATCTGTATTGGCTAGAACACATTTATAAACTTAAAAAAATATATTTTTTGCAAAACAAGACTTGGATGCATTATTAATTTTTTGCATTAGCCCTAACCTGTTTCTTACCACTCTAGTTAATATATTTGTACCATTTTATTATGTTTTATTTGTTTCAGCACAATCATGTGTTAGTTATAAATGTATCAGTGCTTGTTTTCTTATAAATGATTTTGCATCAGTTATAACTTGTAAGCCCAAAAAAGCATAAGGCAATAAATTAAACAAACCTCTTGTATCAACATTAATTTGCTTTAAGAATAATCTGAATGCAGAAACTGGGCTGTAATAATTGGGTTGTTGTGATCATGCAATAGAAAGCAGAAATCTTTAAGCAAGCTAACATTCTCTGTACTTTTTAAGCAACCAGGAAGATTTTAACATTTTCATCACAGTTAATACAGTAATCATAATACATATACTTGCTTTCTCATATTAGCAGAAGGTACAGAAACATAATTTATGTACATAAAGGCTTCTTGCAGTATTCATAAAAGTACAAACACAGTCAGCTGTCAGTTTTTATCATAATTTGAATTAAATAAATAAAATTAAAAAGAAACGCAATACTTACAGGTAGCCATCTCTAATAATAAGGGGCTTCCTCACAGTAAAATAGGATGTTTTTTCTTAAAGTTAGATTTCCCCAACATGTCAGAATAAACAGCCAAATTACTGAGTTTATCATGAAAATTTTAGTGCAAAACCTTTGCAGTTATCTTGACAATTCCAGCAATGCAGCTTGCATTTTAAGCAACTAATGTGTAGACTTAAAGCACAGCTAACCCTCTGACAGCAAACAAGTATTATACCCTGATTGAATATACTTGGACTGTGTCCAAACTAATCTAAACTAAAGCAGGCCCGAGTAATGATTCAGCTTAACAATCCACAGATGTCAGGCAACCAGCTAAACACTCTGATGAGGGATTAGTGGGTTCTAATTCAACGTCTTCACCATTATTTAATACATCAGGCAAATGCTGGATAACGGATGGTAACATTTTTCAAAAACAAGAATGTAGAGTTATTAATAACAAAAAATATGGCTGAGGAATTTGTTTCATTTACATCCCATAACTCGGCAACTTCTAGAAAAAAGTTCATTTCCTTAAAAGGACATATAATTAAAACTCTGTACATGTATGAAAAAAAATAACATCTGAATTTTGGCCTCATTGTAAATGACAATTGACACTTGTTTCCACACAGTAGATAAAACTTTTTCCCCCTTTTCTCCTGAATTTCAGAGGTGTTATCCTGGAGGGGGATCATTCTTACCATAAAATTAGACAGTACATCTAATGTATAGCAGCCCCAAGAAAGTGCTGCCTTTATCCATTCTCATTTGTCCATGTAACAGTAGCAAAACATATTAAGTGACACTGTGTTTAAAAAAACAGTTGGTGCAATGAAACTCAAGCTCTCTTGAAACACATGCAAAACCACAACATAAGCAAGAAAATAAAACATAGGACAAGTAAACTGATGAACTTTGGAAAGAAAAAAAATAACAATTATAGTAGAAAAATAGTTATCAAATTGATGTATTTTTTATTATTATAGCATGTTTATTCCAGGACAGATTTTAAAATGTGAGAGCTTCTATCCCTCTGGTGCTTGAGCCAAATGGCAGGGATATTAAACAGAGCACCATCTAATAACTTTAGCCAGAGAGTATAAAAGCACATATATCTTAGAGATAATCAGATACAGAGCCATTTAGAGCTTTAGGCACACTTTTACAGATGATTCCTTGTTTGGCTTGTATAAATATGCCTAAATGGGGAGGTCCTGGGTAGACCAGAAAAAAAGATTAAATGTCTTGTCACCAATAAAATGCTTTGTAACCTCTATTCTAATATATTAATATGTACGATCCTTGAATTGTTATATTACATTAAATATGGCCATGTCTCTGTAAACGTTTTTTTATGCTACATTTCCAGTTCCTTTATGTTGCCCATCTGATTTGAAGTCTGGTGACTTCACTGGTGAAATTTCTTCTCAGTATTATTTAGTAAATAGCAACTACACATTCAGATACTAAAAATCCAGAATGGCACACATCATGAAGTCATGCTGAATCAAATGAAAACAGATTGGACAAAATCCTTAAGCAAAAAAAAAATCATTTTTTGAAATCAGGTTTGAAAGGTTGTATATGATATGTACTGTACAGTATGTATGGCAATGCACCTACAATATTTTATACAAGTTCCTCAGAGAGTAGGGGATGGGCTTAATACATCCAGTACAATGTGCTGCACCAACTTTTTCCTTAAACCTTTCCCTAGATCAGCTAAGGGGTCTCATTCAATTTTGTCTGCAACACACTGCACTAAAACAATTGAAATAAATTATTGAGAATAAGTTATAAACATATTTAGTTACACAGAAGTGTCACAAATAGGTATCACAAATGTTTAGCATACTTGTCATCAGCAGGTGTTTGTGCACGTCACTGATGAATTTGCATGTTAAGGAATGCATTCTCTTGCATCCTCTATAATGAGCACAATGCAATGAGCTTTTTGAACTAACTGCTTCCAAATTGTTTGTATATCTTTACAGCATTCAGCTCCTAACTGGAGCTGTTAGACTGTGAAAAATGAATAGCTAACTATATTAAAATATTAAAAATGTATGAGGAGTGACTACATGTGATATATCCAGGAAGAATTTCCTGGATTGAGCCACAATGATGATAAAACTGTCACAGTTGGTGTTTCTCATTTCAACCCAGCACATGCTCTGGTCGTAAACACGTCACCAATTATATAGCTTAGATTTATTTTTATTTGGCCACCATGTATACATCAGGAAAAGTTATTTAAATGAAACAGGTCTCACTCAAACACAATGTATAATGTGTCCGATTAAATGCTGTTTATCAGTGATTCAGTGGTACAGTACCTGCAAATGATTTTTGTTTACTGTATGCACCGAGTTCCCTCTAAAAAGTCTGGGCAATGAAGCTTTAGGCTCCTACATACACACTTGACTGATCTTGCCACTTCTTGGTTCTGTAAAAATAGTGGCAGAGATGATAGAGCAGGTACACCTGTTCATCTCCAGGTATGTTTATTAGTGAACGACCTTTTCACATTGATCTTCTCATTTCGGATCCTTAAGCCTTCCCTAGCCATGCGTATACTTAGTTTTTATTTGCTGCCAAGCCTGTAAGGCTTTTATCCTATCGGAATCATCAGATGATGCACAGCATGCAGCCACATTTAAGCAATTAGTATGGGCTGATTACCCTTTGTGTCAGACTTTAACTGTAAAATTGTGCAATAACAGATCCTGTGTTCTTACATGGGAAAATTACCTTGCAAAGAAGCTCCACATTTGAGTTCAATAACTGAATCTTTTGATGAATTCATACGTCCATCAATCATGCTTGCCTTCAAGCTGACCTACTTTTAAGTTCGACATAGCAACGTAGCATTTTCATATAAATTTACAACAATGACCAAAAGACTTAACTTTGTCTTGCTGTCATTGCACTTCTTATTGAAAAGACCAGTGCTTAGCATGCATTTTGCTTATTTCAGCTTTCACAAACAGGTCAAATAAATGAAGTCTACCAGAATTGCACTCTAGACAGTCATTACGTGAGCACGTTTTACTGCCAGTTTGATATATAGGGCAATGCACTACCAATAATTCACTGAATTATAAATCCTGGATAAGGATTAAAGACTGTCATAAAACAGATTATAGTCCATTCCTTATAATGAGCTTGTATATCAACTCTCCAAGAATGTCGCTCTTCATGCTATTTATAACAGTTTCATATTTACTTAATATATTTAGCATTCTAAAATCAAACCAGAAAATCAATATTTTTAATAATTTGTTATGGATCTTTGTTGATTTCTAACCCCAGTCTTATTGTTTTTTTCACATCAAGAACAAAGGTACATCTGTTTACCCTGGGTAACAATGAAGTGTGACAAAGCACATGATTTTCAAACAATTCCCTGTAGATTAAAAAGACTTGCACTTAATATAATTTGAGCTGGAATATTTTATAAAATTCCCATCACTTCTATGAAGATTGGGTACAAAAACTTTGTACATTTATGTAAAAATGTAGAAATAACGGACGTTTGCGATTTTCTTTTTTGAAAGTGAATAACATTTAGTGGGCTTTCATATTTAGCACTAGATGGCACCACAGTATCTATCATTAGTCTTCAGAGTGGTTTTTCATTTCCTCGGATAAAAGATACAGTAATTCTTTCAGTTTATGAAGAGTGTAAAACTATAGGACATTAAGGTTTTCTCGTTTTATGAACAAGAAAGTGAAACGTTCACATTATGCGACATTTACATGGTTTATTACTAAAAGAGAACTCCTTGAGAACAATACTTCCTCAAGCATTAAAGATTTTCCAATTGTTTTCCACTGGGTGGCATCAGGCCTCAGCTTCTTTCAACAAACAGAAACAATACAAAGCCAGCTCGTCTCCAATTCAAAGAGTCAGAACGCCAGTTCAACGTCTCCTCCAAAGGACAGCGACTTTTTTACAGCATAGTGGTTTTATATTTAAGTTAATATAAATACAATATCTAAATTAAATTTGAAATCTTTTACAGTTACTTGTCTGACGTTTTGATATACCCATCTGTAGGTTTTCATTAGTTGGTAATGTAAGGCATTCAAGTAAAGCAAGCAGAAGACAAAGGGTTCATCAAGAAATTTGTATGTTTCTTCCACAAAACAAATGCGAGAATCTTTCAAAAGGGATACAATCACAATGCATTTCTTAAAACATTTCTACGAACATAAAAAACTACTGTGGTATATCAATGAATAAAGCATTGTAAAGTGTGGTAAAAGCACAGCCAAGCATGTTAAAATATAGTTAAGCATAACAAAGCACTATAAGGACATACTGTAGAGTTGATACCTAACAGTCTGTGAAATTAACAGAAGGAAGCATGCACATATACCACAGTAGTTCAGTTTAAAGAAGGTGGACCTGCAATTGAAAACAGTACAATATGCTGCTTTTTGATAGCTCCTGCAGGAGACAGAAAAAACTTCGACTTCCTAGTACGTGTGCAGTGGGAACAAAAACAGGGTAGCAACACAGTTAAAAATAGATTTAAAATGAGTCTCTACTGCGCTCCACATTCGATTTTCCTAGGTTTGAAAAAGTCTATATATTTTTGCTGACATTTTGCTTTCTCTTAAATTAAAATGTATTAAATAATAATATTGATGACGGTTATATGTGATATCAAATTGTATCTTGCTTTCCTGTTAGTTTTTTGGTATACTAGCATCCAATATAAACTGCCAATAATCCTTCCTTCTGTAAGAAGTGCAGTGTGTAATATTCATCCATTAGTTAAACACAGGAACTTCAAAAATAAATTAAGCATCAATAAAAATAGAAAGTGGAAAAAATGCGCTTGATTCTGAGCTTTTGCCCAACATGATTTCCTCTTAGTACTGAGGAGTGTCAAAAGTAATGGATGAATTTCCCAGTCCGGCACAAACAGCAAGAATTCTGATATTTCTGTGGTATGCATCTTCTCTTAGATCCACCATATTCTAGATTTTCAAAGTTAATTAAGTGAATTAGGTTTAAAAAAGTCTTAATGGAATGTAATTCATTAAACACAGCAAAGATCAGAGGAATTTAATTTAGAAAATTGTTTTTTTAATTACAAGTAATTTAATTACAAGCAAATAATACAAGTGTATACACTTGTAGCATAGACACACAGTCACAGTCGATTTTAATGAGGTCTGGTTTGTATAACACGTCTGAAATGAATGCTTTACAAGACTCAGAAATCTGTGCTAGAGGCCGGATAAGCACATGGTTCTCACTACAAATTACCACATTATACAACAAATATTGTGTAACCATGTCAGTGACATATATGGTAAATTCAAGTTCTCTAGAGCGATGGAGACACTGTTCTGTGAAGACCATATGTTTGGATTTGTTATTGGAAAAAAACAGCAACTTTATAACAAGTTTTAACTTTGGAATTTTTTTTGTTGTTAGCATGAGAAGGGTTTTGAAAAATGCAGCAACACAAATTCTCAAGGAAAGTAGCACCATTTCTCTCCCCAGCAATTTCCCTCGAGTCTGCATGCCTCTGGAGTTTTTAACATTGACAAAAGCATGCACCAATATGCATTACCATTAAGAGAAACGTTAGATTAGTTAAACTGTGTGGAAAACCTCTGCGTCAAGTGAGACCACTAGCTTTTGTCTTAACTCATTGAGATACATGCCACAGAAGGCTATCCCATGCCTTCGGTCACTTCAGAACATTGCACACTTAAACATTCTGGCAGCTGGTTTTGCAAGGAGTGATCATGCTTATTGAAGACGGATTCAGATGACTGCCACTGAGGAGTCTAGGTGCCGTGGTGAGACCACTAAGTGTGATTCATGCAGAATCTTTCCATTGCATCTTACCCTGTCATTCGATATGTGAAACTTAACAGAAAGGATAAAAAAGCATTGTATCCAAGTTAGAACTGTGTTTGAAAAAAGATTCAAAAGGTGCTAATATTTAAGTACATCAGAGTTTTGCATATCTGGACTCTAGTGTACAAAATTGTAACTTCTGGCTGATTTAATTTTTATTTGTTTTTTATCCATGTTCAAAGTTGTTGCAGACTTACAGGCTGTCAAAATCACTGCATTGCCAGTACCTACACAGCAGTGCTTCAGCACATCCCAATATGTTGACAAAAGAACAGCTGCATTTAGACAGAGTGCAAATATAGCCTCTGTTCACATTGGGTCAAATGTTTGCTTAAGCAATTTAGGGTCTATAGTGAAGCTTTACAAGAAGGTTATAGAAGGGTACATACACTGGAACAGTAAGTGCTTGGTACTCTTAAAACAATATAGGTTGCCTGTTTGGGAAGTGTTCTGCAAATGTGCCAGACAAAATTTGCAAAAAAGTCAAAGTCGTGAGTTAAGGTCAAACCAATGAGTAATTAAATTTCATATAATGACAAAAACCCTTCTGAGACTTTGACTTAGTCATAAATTAACAAATGCCTCTGAACAAGTGGATAAAAACCTCAATAGAGCATGAGCCAGATAGTGCTTCATTCATGTACTGTACTTGTACAGCTTACAAATATTTGAAATAAAAACATCAATAATAAAAAAGATGCTAACCACTTTGTCCTCCTTGTGCAGTGCAATCCAGGAAGCAATGAAAACAAATACATAGAGAGAAGTGAGGTCAGTGTCAATAAGTACAACACAGCATAAAAGAGATTAGCAGGGTGCGTCAATCCAGTCTTCTGACAGAAGTAATTTTGAAGGATTAAAACAAGCAACAACATGCATGCATTAAATAGGCCTCTGCATGTCATTTGTCATGCACTTTTAATACACACACAAAACAAATGTGATTAGACCTAAAAAAGTTGTTTAACCATTCACTATTTTTCTATATGGCTCACATACACACAAATAAGCTTTAGCCTTACTTGCAAAAACTGAGAGTATATGAAGTTTTCTTTACAAAACAAAAGTAAACTATGTTGTGCAATGTTTTCCTAATAATAATGGGTGGCATGAAATGTGCTCAAACATTGCCACGCTAAGGACATTGAGGTGTATTGCAGGCACCAATAACCTAGTTTACAGACGACTATCATAGTTTGATGCTATTAATATTTGTATGTGTATTTCAAAAAACAACAACTGAATAATTAATCAGTTTGCCATTAGTCAAATGTTTGAATTTATGTCAAATAGCGAAGAAATACAATTCCTTTTGTGAAAGTAACTAAAAAGGCAAAATGTTAATTACACCAGAGTGTGTAACTGTTCCTGGGTTCATCAAGTCTACTCTGCAAACACAATATCCAACACAAAAGCTAGTAATTCTCATTTGGGAAATTAACTTTTTGAAAAGTTGAGAAAAAATATCTTATATAAGAATGAAAGGAATCTGGGCACGGGAGCAGTACAGTGGGCGAACAGAAAATCTATTTAAAAAACTGTACATATTCTAATCCAATTTTTACACTTGACTGTCAGCTACCCACCAGCATTACTACAAAGACTAACTCCTAAAACCAAAACGGAAAACAGTCAAGACACATTTTGGTGACTGATTGAAAACAGTCAAATTTAAGAAATAATTTTCAAAAAGGCTAGTCATCATTATTTGGTGGGATGGTACAAGCATCCAGCCCCCATCTTAATCCTTTTACCATCCCAGTAATCAGATCAAACGTCTTAACATCGAAAAGCTCCTTTCTGTGAATCACTGGTTTTGGGCACCCACCATGAAGTGCTCTTCCCATTTTGAGCATCGCCATATAATGGGCTTTGATCAAATTAATGCAAATTCAGAACAGAATCGTTCTGGGTTCTAACACCCATGGGTTTGTTTTCAAGGTGGACATTTTTACTGTTTACTGTCTCCAGATTAGCTTTTCAGTACTAATTTGGTATATTGTGTCAAACCCAACCCTGCAGGATTCCTGTCTCCCCGCTGTTCAGCAACAGGCACAGCTGGTTGTAGCGGAACTGAAGCAGCTTGCAGAACAGCATGCATGGGCTTAGCCAGAGCAGGAGAGCTCCAGAGCCAGTTTTGCTCTCCCAGGAGGGGGTTTGCTGCCCCATCAGCAAGAAAGACAACCTCAAGAGCACCGCAGCCTGGGCCTGGCCTCTGCTCTCTCATTACGAGCCAGCGGGGAGACCAACTCACCGCATGGATATGCTGCTTACTGTGTTGAACAACTGCCAACATCTGCATCTTGTATACCCACATAATAATCTGGAGAATTGTCCTTAAGGAACAGAGAAGCCTGGATTTTAGAGTGGTTAATCAAGAAGCCATTTGCTGTTTTGTTTTACCTTTGCAGTCTCAGTTGTGTCTTTTAGAAAAGATCAAGGAAAGTTAGTCCTTAATTACAGGACTACACCTTTTGTGAGCTTCAAGTATAACATGGTTTCTTTCATTCCTGGCTAATGGCTACGCAGAACGTTTTCACTGAGATGGAGAGACTAGCTTTAATGTGACAAATATGTACTGTACCTTGGTATTGTTTTACCCACTATACCAAACTCAGCCTTCCTATTTCAATCTGTATAATTCCAGTATATTTCATTTTTCTCAATCACTTTAAAAAATCGTACTTCCAAGGGATGCTCAGTACATTTCTGATGATCAACCATTGAAGGTTGATCATCTCAAAAATGTCTGAAGGTCAGAAAAAAAGTTTTACTGCCTGAGATGTATTAGACTGGCAGAGCAGAAGTGCATAATTTAATTAATGTTTTATGGTCTCTTTACAAAACTTTTGAATGTGTTTACTGCTGAAAGTACATTTTAACATTAGAAGATGTTTACATTAGAAGCATTGAAGTTGCACAAGGCCAGGATTGATGCAGAACTCCAATTAATTAATGATACTGTTCATTTTTACTCCTCTGATGTTCCTTACCCTTTTCAATAATGAACACTTCAAGGGCTTTCTGTCTGTTGACTTTCCCTTCACAGACTCATTATGAATAAGAACTAATTAAAGCAACAGGTTCCATAGCAGCAGTCTCCCAGGGGAGCAATCATTAAATATTGAGTTCTAAGTAGGGGTCAACTTTTGAGGTATTTACCTACATGACACTCATACTGAAACGTTTCAATAACAAGACACAAGATGGCTGTTTACCCTCCATGGTGATCTAGTTTGCTCTCATAATTCCTCATTACCCTTTCCTAATCAAGTCTTGGCACTCACCAGCAGTTTTAAAATAAGCAGCCTTATTCTAATAATTTCATCTTTATCTATATGTGTGATATATATTATCTGTGGTTCATATGTAAAAATGCATTTTAGTAGTATAATTAGCATTATTAAAATTATTACCTTAGCTTTAAAAAAACTGTCTAGTGGTTTGCTTTATGACTGTTATGTTAAGGAAATGTTTTTTTGAGCTAACTCCTTTCTCATTGAGTTTTTTTTTATGGGATTTAACTTTAAGAATGTATACCACAATGAAATATTAAAACTAATGAACATATTGCTTGCCCTTCTAGCTGGTAAGTCTGAAAATAAAGGCAGGGCATTTGGTTCACATAACGTGTTCATCACATAAACTGTCATTTTTAATTTCTATTATAAAAAAGAGCCGTTCCCTCATTTATGCAATGTGTAAAATGATTCAGTTAGGGTGACTAAATAAGGGAGATATGTGCTCGTAACTATATGCCTCTCAACTAAATAATAAGCAATATCAATTTCAAAAGTGCTTGTTATCAGGTAGTGTTCTGCTTGTAATTCACTATAGCAGTCTCTCATTCTTCTATACTGCTGCTATTATTATTAATTTGAAACTCAGTGTGTGAAAAGAATTATTATTGTTTTTGTTATTATTATTAATGGAAATAATAACAGCAGGAGTCATCCCCTGCCTGCATGTATATTGGAAAGGGCAAAGAAAAAAGGCTCACTAAGGATGGAAAAAAATTGCATAATGACATTTTACATGCATTTTCATCTTAAATTGGTACATATGTATATATGTGTGTGACAATTACTTGGAGACTGCAGTAAAGCATGTTTTGTTCAAGGTTTTTTCAGAGTAAAAAAGTATTTAAAACCAAACCTTTTACTTGTAGTGATGTGCAGAGCTTTTGACTGAAATCCCTTTGGCAGCAGTAATTCAGAGAGCTAAATGAGCAGGGTGTTTATAATTGTTTTTTTTAAATGCAAACACTTTAATGCTTGTCAAATTTAAAAGCATTTGACAAAGAACAACAGACAGCACCAATGTGAAAATCATTTCAATCAAGAACACATTTCTTTTCAGAAAAGAATACTAGAGGCTGAAGAATAGTGTTGGTGTACGGTATATTAAGAACCAGGCTGCTTATGTGACATGCCTCTTTTGCTCTCTTATTTCCTAATCACTGCAAGTGTACTTTTAAATGCAAGTCCGACTTTAATTATACATTTCAGATTTTAAAGTCCTATCAATTGTACTGTAAGTCAAAGTTATTTTTCTGAGACCCATCTTTAAATGGTCGACTTTTAACAAGTCTGCCACTGAAAGGGGGTGAAAATATTGCCTCTCTCCACCTTTACCTAACAAAATAGTGGAACAAGAACTCAATTTCAGTGGGCACGTACAGTATGTCAATTTCAGTATTTTGATTACATGGTTTACTTTACTGCTCCATTAATATACTTAATGTAGTTTGTGACTGTAGTTATGAATCTCAATTTTAACACCTCACATTCACATTTACTAGAACAAAATATTACACGATAAATGCAATGTGACAGTATATATTTTCACTGCCCAATCACTAGAGACTTCCATCACGTTAGCACACAGTTTCATTCACTAAATTAACTTCCAATGTACAGTATTTGTTTTATACTTTTCAAACTCCCCCTATCATTCCTTTGGCCTTCATGAGCTCAACACATGAGCTGACTGCCTTAATTACAACCACTCCCACTCCCACTAAACAATGCAGCTTTGACATTAGGTTAGTACTTCCTTTCAGACAGACAGTTCAAACTATGGCATTAGGGGCACACTGTAAAACATCATAGCTTCTTGGCTGGTCATTACATAAGATATGCCCTGTATGACATACTTCTATGTAAAACTGTCTTTTCTTCTTTAGTTTCAGGTCATTGCATTAAGACATGGGTCCATTTTTATTATGAAGCTGATCTTTGACTACACTTTTGTAAGCCCAATTCCCCTTGTCCTAAAATGTATAATGCATTAATTAATCATCATCTCCAAATGAAACAGTAGACTATCAGAGAGACCTAGAAATTCAGGGAAACCTACAAAACATCTTTCAAAACAAATCATTGACATTTTTTAGTTCGTTTCAGAAAACTTTCTATCTATTATAGACCTTTACTTAAAAAAAAACATTTTGCAAAAAGCTTCAAGGTGGAAAAAATATTTTTCTTGTGTTAACTGTAGCTGTTATAGACATGGACCCATGCAACTGATGCAAGAAAACCTGCAGGGCTCTAAGCAATGTCTCCTGAGGTGATCAGTACACTGTCACATTACATCATTTAGAATGTGATACACTTGGAGGTCATGTGATATGCTCTAATTTTAAAGAACAACATTAAAAAATCATAATGAATACTTCTTTAAAGACAGTCACACATTTTTATTTAAACCTGGTGCATTTAATGTCATGCCTATTGGTTTTGTAATGTATGAATTAAGCAAACACAGTATCACACAATCTGATTTCTAACCAGTTACATTTAAGGCTAAGCATGCATTAGGTGTTTCAGGGGTGCTTTACTTTTCCCACATTCACCTGAAACTCACCCCACTGTGAAGGACGAAGGCAGAGCACACAATGAAGAAATGTGTTATACTCGCAATCCAAAGCAGAGCCTGAGAGAAAAGGAAACGAGTGACACTCACGTTGTTGGAGCGGAGAGAGACCCGTCCTCCACACCGGGCACAGAATTTCGTCTGGCAGTAGGAGCAAATGTGGCCACAGCCGTCTGCAAATTTGGTTTTGCGACAGATTCCACAGGTTGGAGCATCATCTTTGTGCTCTCCTTGGTATCTCCGTGCTTCTTCCCCAATCTTCCGGACTTGTTCTTTGTAGCTTTCAAATTGTTGGTGCAATCTTCTAATAAGAAGTGGGAGAGGTTTGCTTGTAAGTGGCAGGTTTGATTTTAGACACAATTTGAATACAGTTTATACAGCATACATAACATACAGTGTCTTACAAAACAAATTATTCCCCTGAAAAGCTTTTACATGTTGTTGCTTGTAATTATTAGACTTTCAAATAGGAATTTGTAATCTACTCCAAACTGTTAAGAGTGAACAATTGCTGATAGTATGTAAACAAGTTAGATTTTTGAAAAAAAAATAGAAGATTCTCAACTGCTTCAGTTTTCCACACCAATTCCTATGCTAAAGCAATCTGTTCAGGTGCGAAATAAAAGTTTAAAAGCTCACAAAATTAGTGTAATGGTCTTTGTCTGTTTGTAATCAAAGTGGTTTAATGTCTCTGTAAGTTCCCTCAGATCAATATTGAATTTCAAGCCACAAGTTGCTTTGCGATACAACAAATCGACCATGAAGACAAAGGAGCTTTCAAAACAAATCAGGGAAAAAGTGTTAGAGAGGCACAGATCAGGAGAAGGTTTCTTATCCCTTAAGGGAAATCTACCTTTAAGAAGTGGAATCTGCACTATCACACAGACACACATAGATCAGGCCACCTTTCCAAACCTAGTAGACAGGCTAGCAGGTAAATAGGTAGAAACATCCCTGTGAAACCAATAGTGACTCAGAAAGATTTAAAAAATGAGAGTCACTATTCAGACGTTGACAATATCCTGGTCCTAAAGCTGACTTATCTGGGCGAACAAGAAGAGAGAAGCCTTTACTGAAAAATACTCATCTGAAATCTCTTATAAGATTTTATACTACAGAAATGTGACAGAAGGTTTTATGGTCAGGTGAGACAAAAAATGTTTTAAACTTCTGGTCTAAATGCAATGTGCTATGCCTAGAGTACACCTATCGTTCACATCACCCAGATAGCACTATCCAATCTGTAAACTATGGTGGTGGCAGCATCATGTTATTAGAATGCTCTTCTGCTGAAACACATAAAAAATGTTCTCTGGCAAATCAATATGTTAAAAAATGACAAACCCAACCTCTAGGATAATAACCTTCTACAGAACATCACCAAAAACAATTTAAAACAGCACCTATGAGCTGTTTGAGCTCCACAACTGCTTGACCCACCTAAAAAATAAAACATGGTAATTTATTGAGTTCTTAAGTGAATGTCTACCCTTAGTAAGAAATTCTGTAAAAATATTTTAAGACTGTATGCTAGATTTCCATAATCTAATTTGGCACAGAACAAAAGTCTTCATTTGATAAGGCATGTCCTTCCATCGAACAGAACATAAACTACAACAGACCAGATGAACCTCTGCACTTGTAGATAGCACCACAATACAGGAAACTGGATTGAAACAAAGTATACAGTAGCTGTACATTAGGCAGAGGTGCATGGCAAAAATAGATTGTTTTTCTGACAATTTTTTAGCTGAAAATATTGTCAAGAAAAGCCTTTGTTGCAGTGGCAGTCAGCCTCAAGCGATATTAATGAAAATGTTTCAGGCAGTTTACGAAAAAAAAAACTTATAAGAAAGTGAGAAGAATCTTTATTCCCCACTTGGTTTTCTCAATGTAAAAATAACCTTTTGTGAAATGCAAATTAACCACAGTCTCTACATGAACTGGCATCTGATAATTTCCAATGAAGGCAAAACATTCACAAAGGAATAAAGCATTAGCATAAAATTTCTCTAAATTAAGGTATGCTGCAAGCTTTAATTACCACTGGAAGGATGTAGATATTGTGCAGGTCCCTTGCAATGTAAATACTATGCAAGCTAACTGCACTCTCTACCAATGAATTTTAAAAGATCTGTCAAAAAATAAAAGCCAGCATGTCCTGAGACAAGGCTAAATTAATTAAGTGATGTCCATTTTAAGTTTATTAAGACATATTATAATGCAGTATCCACAAAGCAGTTCCACACTTATGTTATTTATTTAATTCCCTTGCTGTTTAAAACTGGATTAACATTGCTGTTTGATGAGTATATTTTTTTCTGAAAATTAAAAACATTTGTGTCTCTAACCACAGATTTTCTGGTATTGTGCACACTGCCTGAATTGTAACTTTAAACAAATGGATCAAAACTAAATCTAAAGCAGAACTGAAATCCTAGTTCTAAAAACAAAATAACAAGTATCTGTCTCATCTGAATATTATTCATTCCAAAAACAGTTCATCCAACAAGTACTGTATATAATGAAAATGGCTATACCATGTTGTCCCCAATATTAAAATCATTATCTACCAAGCAATTCAAAAATGAGAAGATACTATGATCTGCATAAAATATTGTGTCTGTCTGGAAATACATTCTCAAATGTATCTATTAATGTTCTGCCTTCATAAATCCAAGAAGGTAATTTAACCCTAAAGATGTCAGGACTGATTATTATCTACAATAAAAGACCCAAAGCAAACTGGGCTTACAAGCATTCCAAAAAGCATTTTCCAAGTTAAAAGCCCACTCACTGAAACCTGCCAAGTTTCAGTGAAACAAAAAATGTCCATTAGCAAGTCATTCTGCAACTGGAGTATCTTTAAAGGTGTTTTACTCTTAAGAATAATGTTGCACCTGTTTTATTTAGGCTTGCTGGCAGCAAAACACAAAAGTATTATAAAAAGATCTTCACTGCTATGAAGTACCTCAGCACCCCACCTTGGGATTTCAAATGTGCTGTTATCTGTAAATAAAACATGTATCCTAAAACGCTGTACAACTTCAATTCAGTATCGAAGTCGGTCTTCATGCAATTTATTTGTACTTCAACTGAATTCCCAATCTTGAATTATCATCATGAATCTTGATGAGCACAGGATCTCTCTCTAATGGCTTCCAACACATTTAACAGGATAACAACAGTGATATCGTTCTGCAATCTATCTTTAACTGTGCTTGCAGTTCACACACAAAATAATTAGTGTGACGCACCATGTGTATAAGGTTTCATTCACTTCCACCTTGAATGTGCCTCTGGTCAATGTAAGTAATGGAAATGTTTTATTGGGATTCTAGTCTTCACTGACTTCATTTTCTCATGTTGTTTATTGTGGGGGAGGGGGTGCATTTAAAAAAGAAATTTGATTCAACAACATTCTATTTATACTAAAATGCTCGATACTGTTTCAGATTTCCCTGCCTTCTACAATTATTTATAGAACAAATGCTGGTTTTACTTATTTTGTCACAACACCTAATAATAACTATACTTTAAATACCACATATTGTCATTTTCAAGGGTAATTATTTAATATTATGATAATGATTAAAACAAACAGTCAATACAAATGTAAATATGTTGAGGCTGATTGTCTTCTGTGATTATTACAAAGGTAACTGACTGCCTGTTTAAAGATCCAGAAGCACAGATGGGCCTCAATTCAATAATTGGTATTTTTATTAACCTTATACAAAGAGATCTGCTTCCTTGTGTTTATTCATTCTGTTGATCTACCTGATTTTTAAAAGATAGTGAGAACACATTTCAGGAAAAGTAAGAGAGCTCTTTTGATCGCAGTAATGTTCAGTTGATCTTTTATTAATAATTATGAGTTTTTAAAAAAGCAATTTTTACCAAGAAAGCTTGCTTGTTTAATAAAGCAATAAAGACATTCATGCAATATATTGCATTTGTACTATCACTCCCCAAACGCATGTTTCGTGTAATGTTTATACAACTTATATTCAATATGTAAAACTGAACTATAAAATACAGTATATAATGTAAAAACTACTAGCTTGTTTTACCAGCATGATTGAATTAAAAATATATTTAACACTGATTACTAAAATACATTTTTATCTTTGCAAAGTTCTTCAAAGTGTAAAACAATTTTAATTAAGCTAAAGATAAAAAATCATGTACTTTAATCCCTTCCATTATCAGCAGACACAACTAAATTCTGAAAGCTACTTAAGAAATTTTAATTTAAATACAACAAAACATTTCAAAGATCTGCAAAAGGCTTGATATTTGACTTGTCCAATGATTGTGTTGGTGTGGGCTTTACAGTTTTTTTTAGCACTGTCCCAGTTAATCAGCAACACTTCATTAAAGAAGTGAAAATTAGACTTGTTCCCTACTTCTTGTTTTTTATAGCTGCTGTGTCAATTTTTCCAAAAGGTAATTCTGCTACAGTATACATAAACAAAGGAATGCTTAGTGTGCATAATGATTCGAATACACTGATCCATCACAAAAGGTCAGAAGAGAAACTTAAGTACCTCTCAAACATCACACAAAGACTATGTGCTGCAAAATTCTATGCACATTTGAAAACTTAAAATTATAATTATTTCTGTCTTCCCTCTGCTGACTGCTGACTATGTGCATGCTAAACACCTACTCAGACTGTCAGCACCTCATCACAGACTGGACTTATTTTAGGCAATGTAACATCCCACTTAGACTCCTTCCATACTGGAAGAGTAAACAAGACTCCTACTCAAGCAATAGAAATGTTAGTCTTCAATGTCATTTTTTAAGCGTCCACTTATGGATACAGACCTAGATGTACTACAATGACTTCACTACAAGGATCTACAAAGTGACACGTTTTAAAACAACACAAAGACCAACCACATGGGATAGAAAACAATACATACAGATTGAGCTCAATTTTTAGGTATTTGAAGGAGTTCACCTTTTAAACAAAGGTAGTCTCTCTTGACCCTTGCATGTTTCTTTTGGCAGTGAATGCAGAAAGCATACACCTGCAGACATGTGCAACAGTGAAGACAATCAATGTCAGATGCTTATTTTAGACATTTTAAAGTCCCTGAAAGCTTACAACTCAATACAACTCAGCTGGATCTACCAACACAACAAGCATATGGCCTTCCCTGATAGAGACAGAAATAGCACACTCCTTTGAAAAAACAAATAGAAACTTTATACTGACGCTACAGTGTTCTGTTCCTATCACACAGTAACATTTTGACATTAATTAAATTTAATTTCACACATCAGGAAATGAAC